CTTTGTTTTAATCCAATTCAATTTTGGGACAATGAACTCCAAATGCACTTGTCTTATTTTTTAACTTAATTTATCTAAAGCGCATCTAAGCCAGTTTAGTGACTCTAGATTTTCTGCGCCAACACATTTTTTCAGCCTTTCAAGGGCAACCACTTAGTAACATTTACTCAGACCAGAGATCCAATTTTTCGTAATGAGTAACAATGGTTGAATGCATTCAAATGAACTCTGGTAAATCGTAAAATGGGTTCAAATTTCAAACTTCGTCGAGTACCTGAGCCAATCGAAATGAACTTTTTTTCATAAATCGCGATTCCACCGAGCCAGATATCTAAATCTGATAACCTTTAGAAACACTACAAAAGTTTGTTTCGTCAATTTTGTGCGTGATCGAAAATGTTGCTGCTAGTACTCGTAGTACTCGTCTGGCACTGGGTTGCTGCCGAGAAAAGCGTCTTCAAAGTTCTGGAAAATCTGCAATCATCACAAAAATGTCAACAGCAGTTGGGTGAATTTGTAACAAATTGGGCTTTAAATGAAAATTCGTGTAAGCACCACCAAGATCACCTTTTTTGTGTTACCATTTTGTTTAGTGGCGAAAATTGAAGGCATTGACAAAATAGTTGATATGTTTATGTTGAAATTAACTTGGTAAAGTGATAGATTTTTATTAACGAATAAAATAAATTTAAGCACGATTCTTTTTTATTGTTCAAAATGGTATTTTCTTCGTGGTTTTCATACCACACTCCAAATATTGGTTTCACTTTCATCCGATGTTTATATCAATCAGTTATTTTTACATTGTTTTACGGACCAATATTCCACTTCGTTTCAAAAATCCCGCCTAATAAAAACGGTTGGGTAAGGACACGTTGTTCCAATATTTGACGAGCTGTCCCTACTGTATGGTTGTACTGTGGTTAGGTCGAGAACATTCGACTAACTTCGGGTAAGTGTCGCCACGTATAGTATAGTTTAGTATATAGTCTTTGCCATTTCTATTGAAACACCACTTGTTAATCATAAATTTGGCAACGTTCATATTCAGACAATTTTCTACTAAAAGCCGTTATCAATCAACCGAAAGCTGTTATCAATTGCTAAATTTTAAGCAAAATCAACAGGTGATGTTTCAATAGAAATGGCAAAGACAATGAGTGCGGACTCTGTAAAAACTCTCTACTTTTAGTCGTCGTAGCAGTAGGAACTTAGGAAGTGTAAACTTGTACATATATAAACTATAATAAAGTAAGGTTGACCACACGGTGTATAGTTTTTCTTAACACATATTCGTTCTATAAGGGTTAAACTTAGATCGATCTATGTTATATAGTTTATTATAAGGTATACAGTGTCATAATGTATTTCGCATTATTATTTAGTCTATTATATTATATTCTGTTTATTTATTTAATTGTAAATTGTCCTGTAATTGGATTGGATCTGTAGGGCAATAAAGATTTATTTATTTATTTATTTTTATTTAATTTTTCAATTCTATTTGATAAAGTTATTTTGTATCTACTTTAGAATGAACGCCTTTGATTTGCTACCGTCTTTTAACATCAACGTCAAAGGAAAATTCCACTTATAATAGAACAATTAAATAAAAATCGATAAGACAAACGATACGGACAAGACCAAAACGGTGATCACTGATATTACTATCACGGCCAAAAAAATGGAAAAACCCAACCTACTCATGTCATTGATTTTTGTTTAATTTTTCAATTCTATTTGTTAAATTTATTTTGTGTCTGCTTTAGAATAAAAATCGATGCTGCTGATAAGATAAAACGGTCATTAGTGATAAACTGTATAAAAAAGGCGCACCACCGAAGATTTTGCTAAGTCGGATTGAGATGTTGCGGGTAGTACTGATGGTGGTGATCCTATTAGTAGCACAGTGTTGTGCTCAAAAAAGCTTATTTAAAGTTCTTGGTGAAAAGGGGCTCAATTTGACATCGAAATGCCGAGAACAGGTTAACGAGTTAATGGCGAATTTTACCATAGATGAATCATCATGGGCGCTTCAAAGTAAGTACGACTTTATGCAGTTTTCGTCTTCATTGTTTTGTTAGTGGTGGATGCCACGTCGAAAGTACCTTCTGGTCTACTGAACTACAATTTTGGCGAAATGGGGGACTTTCAAGAGTGCGTTGGCACTCAAGGGAGTGGCGAAATTGTGGGAAAGTACTGCCTCGGGGACCTTTCCTTCTCTAATGGAACGTTCAACGCTCCTGGTGTGGGTACTGGGTCTATGCTTCCTGTGGCACCCACATGGGCCTTATGTCTACCAAGTGGCTGCACCACTGAAGACATGAATGTCGTTGGAAATACGGTACTAAGGCAGCTGCTACAAGACATAGAAGTGAGAGTCGATTTTTCTGATCTTCTGTGTCAGACTATTGACGACGTTAATCCTGAACTGACTGACGGCGCAATAGCAGCAATGTATGTTTACTTTCCAAACTTACCCAAAAGTACTAATTGTATTTATAGAGTTGTATTCGTGTTGTTGGGTACTGCTGTTCTACTGTCAACGTTGTATGATATTTACATCACATTTTACGGGAACCGTGAGTACCACCAAAATTACGTACTTTTGAATATAACGCCTCTTATAGAATCCAGTCCAATGATAATCAAAGGATTCTCGGTTTACACCAATGGACAGAAGATTTTTAAAATGACCACGCCCACGGCTGATCAGCTTCCGTGTCTGAACGGTTTGAAATTCATTAGTATGATGTGGGTAGTGGCCGGGCACCAGTTTTTAATCCCCATCTTTGGATCATTAACAAACACCAAATACCTCATACAGTGGGCGGATCACCCCTACAGCATGTTTCTAATAAGTGGTACCCTATCTGTAGACACGTTTTTCACGGTCGGTGGGGCCTTAATGTCGTACAGTTTAATGAAAGCGATGCATAAAAAACGCCCTTTCAATTTATTTCTATATTATCTTCATCGGTATCTCAGGTACGACAATTTTTTACAATAATAGTGAGATTGTAATGTCATTGTAGATTAACTGCGCCGCTGGCCTTGGTGGTACTTTTCAGCGCCACTCTTCTCAAGTATATGGGATCGGGGCCAAAGTGGCCCTACCTTTTACTCTACTTTCAGAAAAATTGTGAAGATTATTGGTGGTCGGCACTTTTGTATGTACAAAATTACGTGAACGTTTCAAATATGGTAAGTACTGTCTGCTTCGGTAGTACTTTCGACTAACCCCTAATTTAGTGCGTGGGTCAAACCTGGTACCTTAACATCGACATGCAGCTGTACATTGTCTCTTCTGGCGTACTTTTCGCTCTGTGGAAGTACCCTAAGTTCTGTCTGGCAATTCTAGGACTATGTAGTTTAGTGTTTATGGGGTTTTCATTCTATGAAGCATGGGACAACGACTTAGCAGCTATTTTATCCAATTTACACACGTATGTAATGTCACTTTTTCCAGTACTGTAGGTACTTATTAAAATTTCCAGTACTCATGCAAATGACTATCACAACAAGTACTACCTGCTGACGCACACTAGAGGCACTCCATGGGTGGTCGGAGTGGTCTTGGGTTTCTTCCTTTTCAAAATCAAACAAAAGGAAATCACTTTGGAACTTAATCAATGGGTTGTTTTGGTGGCATGGGGCGCTTGTTTCGCTACTCTATTGGCTTGTGTGTTAGGTGGACATAGTACTCTTCGTAGTCCCGAGTACGACCGCTGGGGTAACGTTCTACATATAACTTTGGTACGACCTGTGTGGTCTGTGGCAATCGCGTGGATTATTCTAGCCTGTTGTAATGATTATGGAGGTGAGTGGTCACAAATTCCCAAGTACCTGCGAGTTTTCAAAGCACTATTTCAGGTCCGATCAACTGGATCCTCTCCCTTCCTATATTTCAAGTACTTAACAGATTCACTTACGGTATTTACTTAACCCACGTGACATTTTTACACGTTATTGCGTACGGAAGACACTGGCCTGATTATTTTAGCGTGTTTAATATGGTAAGTACTAGTTTGGTACCCAAATTGTCACTAATGTGTGACTTTACCAGGCGTACCAGTTTTGGGGTGCTCTCTGGTTTAGTACCGGCCTTGCCGCTCTGCTCATGTTTATGATCGAATTTCCAATGATAACCGTAGAAAAAATTCTGACCCGGAGAGAGGAGTCGATAATGCAGCAGCATGTGAAAGATAATTAGTGTAGTATTGACGGTGTACCATGACAATAATAATAAATATTTTGATACATATATTTTCCGTTTTATTTTATAATGTCTATATGTCTGGGTGGATTCATAAACCACAATTTTTCCACAAACCTACAAAACATAGACGCACTACTTCGCAGATTCGTAAATAATAATATATCGTTATCACCGGAAAAAAATGTCAAAATACAATATATAAACTACACTCACCTACATTTGGACCTATAAACCTTATCGGTTATTGTCCGGTTTAAAATATAGGTGAATGCTATATTACCACGTAACAAGTCTGTTGTTTTGAACGCTCGTCCTTGACTACTTGCGAGAGCAACGACCCATCTATACTTTATAAATCATTATCATCACGATCGTCATTTTAGAGCTTTATTTTAATCCTATTCAATTTCGGGACAATGAACTCCAAATGCACTTGTCTTATTTTTTAACTTAAGTTATCTAAAGTGCATCTAAGCCAGTTTAGTGACCCTAAATTTTTTACGTCAACACATTTTTTCAGCCTTTCAAGGGCAACCACTAAGTAACATTTACTCAGACCAGAGTTCAAATTTTTCGTAATGAGTAACAATGGTTGAATGCATTCAAATGAACTCTGGTAAATGGTAAAATGGGTTCAAATTTCAAACTTCGTCGAGTACCTGAGCCAATCGAAATGAACATTTTTTCTTAAATCGCGATTCCGCCAAGCCAGATATCTAAATCTGATAACCTTTAGAAACACTATAAAAGTTTGGTTCGTCAATTTTGTGCGTGATCGAAAATGTTGCGGCTGGTACTCGTAGTACTCGTCTGGCACTGGGTTGCTGCCGAGAAAAGCGTCTTCAAAGTTCTGGAAAATCTGCAACCATCACAAAAATGTCAACAGCAGTTGGGTGAATTTGTAAGAAATTGGGCTTTAAATGAAAATTCGTGGGCTCTTCAAAGTAAGTACTACCTGAACCATTCTTTGTACTACTATTTCGTCTAGTGATGGATGCCACTTCCAAAGTACCTTCTGGTATTCTCAACTACAACTTCGCTGAAATGGGAGACTTCCAACAATGCGTTCAGATTGAAACCAGTGGTACCACAACCGAAACTATTCTAGGAAAGTACTGCCTGGGATATGTCTCGTTTGGTAATGAAACTTCAAACAAATCAAAAATCGACACTAGTTCTATTAGAACTACGTCGGTACTACCACAAGCACCCACATGGGCCTTATGTCTACCAAATGGTTGTACCTCTGATGACGCAAATCTAATCGGAAACGCGGTACTTCGGGCACTGTTTCAACAAGACCAAATTAGAGTCGATTTTTCAGATTTTCTTTGCCAAACTACCAACGACGTTAATCCTAGCTTGACGATCGACGCTATAGCTGCAATGTACGTCCTTATTTTACTCTACTAAATAAATTACATTGTTTTCTTCTAGAACTATACTAGCGATATTGGTAGCCACTGTTTTAGTATCTACATTCTACGATATCTACGCACATCGTAAGTACCACCAAATAATAACAATTCCGTTTAGTACCTCCCTTCCAGATTCGTGCCCAATGATAATTAAAGCGTTCTCTGTGTACACCAATGGGCGCACGATTTTTACGACAACCACGCCCACTCCTGACCACCTTTCGTGTCTCAATGGCCTCAAATTTATTAGCATGATGTGGATAGTACTCGGGCACCAATTTTCCATCCCGATTTATGGCTCAATAACAAACACTAAATACGTACTACAATGGACTGACAAACTTCACAGTATGGTCCTAATAAGCGCCACTTTATCAGTCGACACGTTTTTTACAATTAGTGGCGTTTTAATGTCGTACGGTTTCATGAAAACGAAGTACCGAAGTACTCGTTTCAACATACTATTTTATTATTGTCACAGATACGTCAGACTGACAGCACCTTTAGTACCAGTGGTACTTGTGAGCGCGACTCTCCTCAAGTACCTCGGCTCGGGCCCCAAGTGGCCCTACATGTTTCTTTATTTCCAAAAAAACTGCCAATTATACTGGTGGTCCACGCTTCTATACGTACAAAACTACGTCAACATCTCCAACATGGTAAGTAGTACCGAAGTCAGTTTTTTTCAACCAAAATCAACCGTAGTGCGTCGGCCAAACTTGGTACCTCAACGTCGACATGCAGCTGTACTTAGTTTCCCCTTTGGTACTCTACGTGTTATTCAAGTACCCAAAAGTTTGCCTACCTTTGATGGGTACCACCACCCTACTATCAATCCTGTTTACATTCTACGTAACTTGGCAAAACGAGCTGTCAGCCATTCTGTCAAACTTTTATACGTAAGTACCCAGGAAGTATCATCTATCAAGTGACCGTTTTTTTTTCAGTACGCACTCAGTCGATTATCAGAATCGGTACTATCTGCTAACGCACACGAGATTCGCCCCATGGGTCATCGGCGCCGTCTTGGGTTACTTCATATTTAAACTCAAACACGACGAGATTGCTTTGGCAATGAGTAGGTCAGTAGTGTCGTTGGCTTGGGTTGTTTGTTTTGGTACTATCGTGACGTGCATATTCGGGGGTCATGGAACTCTCCGCGGTCCCGGGTACGATAAGTGGGGCAACGCTCTTCACATAGCTCTGGTACGACCTTGCTGGTCGCTGGCTATAGCATGGGTTATTTTGGCCTGCACAAGCAACAACGGAGGTATTATCACGGTACTATTAAATCACGTGATAATGGGGTAGTTCCAGGTGTTGCAAACTGGATTCTTGGTAGTTCCATGTTCCAAGTACTTAACCGATTTACGTATGGGATTTTTCTGACGCACGTGACTTTGCTATATGGGGTGGCATACGGGCGAAAAACGCCCGTTTATTTTAGCGAGTTCGATATGGTAACTTGTAGTACCATTTAGTACCGAAAAGTACTATACAAATTTTGAAGGTGTACCAGTTCGGCGGCACTCTCCTCTTGTGTTTTGGACTAGCGGTACTACTTGTATTAACAACCGAGTGTCCTGCGATGGCCGTAGAAAAAATTTTGCTCGGAAAAAGGGACAAAATTTTGGCAAGTACCCACGACCTGGACGCTGAGCAAATCTCCCTCATCGAAGAACGAATCGAAAGGGACAAAGTTTGATTATTGTAAAATTATCTTCGAATAAAATTTCTAAGAATTCTGTTTATCGTCTTTGTTATTCATGCGAAAATTGAAGCAGATAAAGCAAGACCTAAATAAATAAAAGTACTATTACGACGATAATAGTCGTTATTTAGTGACGATGAAGCACGCACTTTTGTTGTTCTTGTTGGTACCGCTAACCTCATCATACCGAAAGTACTACTACTCTCACGAATTTTTTCAAAGTGTGTTAAAAAATGTGTCAACTGAAATTACGTCGTCGTGTCGGGAACAATTCCAACGTTTCGTTGATAACTTGAACACGAACGGAACTCCATGGTCGCAACAAAGTAAGTACCGAGTCGTACTAACCCAATTTAATGTGTTTAAAGTGGTAGATGCCACGTCCAGAGTACCACTGGGTTCAGTTACTTTGAAGTTCGACGACTTGGGTGATTTCGAAAAGTGCCTACGTGTTAAAACGGGTGACGAAGTTCATGGAAAGTACTGCCTTGGTCAAGTTTCACTCAGTACCAAATCGGCGTTACGTGTACGAGACACCATTTCTTTTGTGGCGCCCGTTTGGGCGATGTGTGTACCAGATGGGTGTAGTACCACCGACACTAACACTCTTGCCAATGTAGTACTACCCAATTTAGTAGAAGATGACGGAGTTCGAGTTAGCTTCTTAGATGTACACTGTCAGACTATAAAGGACGCCGAACCAGAACTGACGGTTGCAGCTATAGCGACCATGTAAGGTCTCACTTTTCACAAAAACTAGCACACCCTGTGTAGTATTATTTTAGGTTTGCTTGTCACAACTGTACTTTTGTGCACTTTGTACGAAATTTTCTGGCCCTTTCGTGAATCGAGTAAGTACTTTGTTCATTTTTCTCGTTTGAAAGTTTGTTCCAGGGTGGTACTCTCAATTTATCAAGGCCTTTTCTGCCTACACCAACAGCAAATTTATTTTTAAATTAAACCCAAGCAACCGGAACGACTTACCGTGTTTAGATGGACTTAGATGTGTTAGTATGATGTGGATCGTCATGTTCCATCAGTACCGAATACCGATGTTTAGCGCAGTGACCAACACACAGTCTCTAGTACGATGGCCGGATAAACTATACAGTGTTTTTGTGATTAGTGGGGGAATATCAGTGGACACGTTTCTGACGATAGGGGGTACTTTAATGTCGTACCATTTTATGAAAGCGAGAGAGAACAAAGTACCTTTCAATTTACTCCAGTACTATTTACACAGATACTTGAGGTACGACCAACAACAAATGAAATTCACTTGATTGGAATTTTTGCAGACTAACAGCGTCTCTAGGCGTGGTAGTACTAGTGAGTGCCACATTGTTAGAATACATGGGTTCGGGACCCCGATGGCCTTTCCTGACGCTATATTTTCAAAAAAACTGCCAAGAAAACTGGTGGTCGACTCTCCTATACGTACAAAATTACGTCAATCCACAAAAAATGGTGAGCATTGGTACCACTTTTGATAAATTACGTAACTTTATTGTAGTGTGTGGGGCAATCATGGTACACGAGTGTAGACATGCAGCTGTGTCTAATTTCACCTTTGTTATTTTATATTTTGTGGAAGTACCCGAAAGTCGGCTTAACTCTTCTATTTCTGGGTGCTTTAGCATCGACCAGTACTTCGTTCTACGAAATATGGAACAACCACTTGCCGGGGTTTACGTTTGGTATGTATGGGTAAGCATGCATTGACAACTTGGCCACAAATACGTTGACTTGTTCTAGAAACAGAAGCAAATCGTATGAGTACTACCTATTGACGCACACGAGGGCTGCTCCCTGGATTATTGGAGCTGTTCTAGGTTACGTTATTTTTAAAAAACGAGAGACACAAAGCGGGTTGAACATGAATAAGTATGTTTTGTTTCTTGGGTGGTTTGTAAGTCTTGGTACTATGTTGAGTTGTACTATGGGAGTGAGTACCATTTTTCGTACTCTTGAGTATAACGTTTGGCGAAATGCGTCGTACGCAGCGTTTGCACGTCCAGCGTGGTCTCTTGCGATAGCGTGGGTGATTTTGGCTTGTAGTACCAACAATGGAGGTGAGGAAGTACCAAGTTTGATTTGTTTTAAGTAAAAATTGTAGGTGTGCTTAACTGGTTTCTTTCGCTACCGGTTTTTCAAGTGTGTAACAAGTTTACTTATAGTATATATCTGACTCACGTGACTGTCTTGTATGCGTCTGCGTTTAGTAGAAAATGGCCGATATATTTTAGCGGATTTGACACAGTGAGTACTATTTGACATATAGTACTAGTTTAGTTTATAATTTATAATCGTAGGCAGTTGACTTTTGGGCCACGCTATGTCTCAATGGAGGACTTGCAGTTTTGTTGGTACTACTAGCCGAGTGTCCAACTTTTGCAATTGAAAAAATTCTAACAGGTACGACTTTTCGTGTTTTTGAGGTGGTACTAATGTAATGTTTCAGGGAAAATTTGTCGCAACCAGAAAATGAGTGTCAGTACTACTTTAACTTTGCAAAGTATAGGTTAGAGTTCCGGAAATTATTCTAGTTGTAAAAAATGAATAAAAGATTGTTAGAAACTGGAAAAGAAAGTGTTTTATTGTCCCGGCGCCTCCACCATTTTGCTACAACCGTATAATATTTATTTTTTAGGTTATGTAATGATGGTGACTTGTGTAAATCTACAATATTGACAAAGTACTACATTGAAATTAAATGTCCTAGGACCCGATCCATATCTTCACAAAAGAATTTCAAACAAAAATAAACTGGAGATAAGTACTATAGATTTTTATTGCATTGGGTGTAATCACGTATTTAAATATAACAATCAAACGAAATTTTGTGCCTACGTGACTACCCGAACGTAGCCTCCAGTCTTGGAACTTCCTGAATTAATGGTGGTCTAACATCACTGGTACTACCACTCGAGTACCGAAAATGCCCATGTCGTGACTAATAAACCCGTCCCACACGAAAATCCTCATATCCATTCAAACCTCCGGGTCAACAACTCTACACCCATGAATTATTTCATTTAAATGTAAACAGTTACACTACACCTGAACAGGTTTTTTCAAAGTACGCAAGTAATAGAGATAAGTCGAAAGCGAGTCCGATAAACAGTCACCCACTTGCCGTTGTCGAAATGAGACACGCTTTCCTCATCCTCCTGTGGGTACCACTCAGTACCGCACAAATCCCATACACCAAAGAATTTTTCGCCAACATTCTAACCAACTTGACTCGACCGATAACCCCAAAATGTCGCCACCAATTCGGCGAATTTATCGCAAATTTAAACATTTCGTGGGCTCGTCAAAGTAAGTACTGAGTCGTACCGCGCTGTTTCTATTTTTGGCTGCAGTGGTAGATGCCTATTCGAGCGTACCCAGGGGTCTGGTGACTTTGAAATTCGAAGATATGGGCGATTTTTCAAAATGTGTGGACGTGGGTGGAAAGTACTGCCTTGGATATGTTTCTTTTAGCAACGAAACAACCGTGAGTGTTTGAGTTTCACAATCGCAGTACATTTTTAGTGTCGTTTTTAGTTGTTGATAACAGAGACTGTTTCGTTTGTAGCGCCGGTTTGGGCGATGTGTTTGCCGGATGGGTGTAGTACCGACGATGGTAACGTTGTAGGGAACGCGGTACTCACCCAGGTGGTACAAGACGAAGGAATAAGAGTCGGGTTTTCGGATACGTTGTGCCAAAGTGGCAAAGACGTAGACCCGGAACTTACGATTCAAGCAATAGTAGTACTGTGGGTTTTGGTTATAAGAAATTTTAATATATTTTGTATAGTGTTGTTTTAGCGGTGTTAGTCGTGGTTGTTGTTTTGGCGACGCTTTTCGACATTTATTGCAACTTTTATCAGTCGAGTAAGTACCTTTGTAGTACTACCTGTTTTACAAACATTATTTCAGACTCTTGCGTCGCGATTATTAAAGCATTTTCTGCGTACACTAACGCGAAAAGTGTTTTTAAAATGTCTGCAAGTAAATCTAGCCACCTGCCGTGTTTAGATGGTCTTAAATTCATCAGCATGATGTGGGTGATTATGGTCCACCAGTACTCGGTACCACTCTCCAGTTCAATAACAAACACGAACCAGTTGATGCACTGGCCGGAAAAACTACACAGTATGTTTATACTGAGTGGCGACATTTCAGTCGACACGTTTTTCACAATCGGTGGTACTTTAGTGTCGTACGGGTTTATGAGCGCCAGACACAACAACCTACGTTTTAATCTCCTTCAATATTATCTCCACAGATACCTCAGGTACGACAAAACACAAACAAAAAATTTTACTATTGTTTACCCACAGATTAACTTCGTCGCTGTTTATAGTGGTACTTGTGAGTGCCACCCTTCTCACGTACACAGGTTCGGGGCCAAAGTGGCCCCTTTTTACGCTCTATTTTCAAAAAAATTGCGAAACAAGCTGGTGGGCGACTCTTCTTTACGTGCAGAATTACGCAAGATCGCAGAAAATGGTAAGTACTTTGGTACTGACTGGCGTACTATGAAAAAATAGTGTGTTGGACAGACGTGGTACCTGAATGTCGACATGCAGCTGTATTTGGTTTCACCACTTGTACTTTTTTTGTTGTGGAAGTACCGGATTTGGGGTTTGTTGGTTCTGGGTGTGGGGGCTTTGGCATCCATGGGTTGCGCTTTCTATGAAGTGTGGGAGCACAGTTTACCCGGAATTGCGTTCGGGTCGTACAGGTACGACGAATTTTGTGACTTCCGGAGTACTCTTTTTTTTTCAGTCAGCGTGGCGGAGACTATCAAAAGTACTACTATTTCTTGACGCACACGAGAGCGACTACTTGGATAGTTGGAGTTATTTTGGGTTATTTAATCCACAGGATACAACACGGACTGGCGTTTAGAGTACCTAAGTGGTTTGTTGTTTGTGGGTGGGGTACTTGCTTCGGGGTACTACTCGCGTGTGTACTAGGAGGTCACAACATTTTTCTCAACCAAGGAAACGATGTAGTTGCTAATGCGTTCTACGCAACTTTGGTACGACCTGCGTGGTCTCTAGCGATAGGGTGGATAGTTTTGGCTTGTAGTAACAATTACGGAGGTACTACTACCATATAGTTCGAAAAACGAAATAATTGTGGCTTTTAGGTCCCATCAACTGGGTTTTGTCTCTCCCTATATACCAAGTGTTAAACAAATTTACTTATAGTGTGTACTTAACACACGTGACTTTGTTATATGGGATTGCTTTCAGTACCAAGTGGCCTGAGTACTTCACCGAGTTCGACAGGGTAAGAACTGACTTCTAAACAACTCAAAATTAACTAAAACGTACTTCAAGGCTTACCAATTCTGGGGGACGCTTTGGTTCAGCGTCGGTCTAGCGGTACTACTGGTATTTATAGCCGAAGCTCCGGTAGTCGGACTCGAGAAACTACTCCTAGGTACCACCAAAAATCCGAAACAAGTACCCCGGGACTGTGAAAAAGGTACCGACAACCCTGGTTTCGAAAAGTGAATTTATTTAAGTATCAAAATGTTTATAAAATTTTATAATAAAGTAAAGAAAAATTAATATAAAATTAGATAGAACTTGGCTCTTCGGTGCTCGTTTCTTCTACAACCCAGTCAGATTCGTTTAAACCCGACTTGGACTCACCCAGAAGCGACATATTCTGTGCATCGCTCAACGTTTCGTCGCTTTCAGGTTCCATCTTCTCACCCACTATTGCACCGTTGTTGCGACAGTACTCGATCAGACTCCCCCAGTACTTGTCGAGTTGTAGTACCTTCGGGTTTCCTACCACTATTAAAAGTGCTTTGGCCCGGGTAATCGCCACGTTGAAGCGTTTCGGGTTGTTCAAAAAACCCAGATGGTACTTCAAGTCGTACCCGAGTAGTTGCGTTTTGGATCTAACCGTGGACACTATAACAACCAAGCGCTCTTGTCCTTGGACCTGTTCCACAGATCCAACGAACAAACCTTCGTATCCCTTTTTTTTACACGCTTGTTTGAGTTTGTCTACTTGTTTTTTGTAGGGTGACACCACCATGATGTCTTGTTGTCGCACGGTAACCCCTTGCATTCTACACCCGACTAGCTTATCTAAATAGTCAACGATGACTTGAATTTCTTGGATGTTGAAAAAACTGGGGGAGTTTTGCTCTCTTTGGTCTTCGCCGATCACGCTATGGAAGATGAGAGGGAAGTCTTTGTTTGGTAGTACCTCCCAGTTAACACAAGCGTTGATGAGGTTATCACCGGCTATTTGGAGTTCGTTTTCGTAGAAGAGCTCATTGGGTTGGTTGAGAATGACGGGGTGGGAGCGGTAATTCTTGAGGAGTTTGGTTAAAGCGCACGGATTATATTTCCCTGATTGGTTTTTCTGGTACTGCGGACACGTGTCGATGAGTCGTTCCAACATGGAAGTACCCAAACCACACTCTTTAGCTAACGTGGAGTGTATAACCGGTCCCAATTGTCTGGGATCACCAGCTAGCACAATCTGTCCGAAAATACACCCAGTTTTTTCCTTCCGGGACAAAATCCGAGCGATTGGTACTAAAGTCTCGCTCTCGGTAGCTTGTCCCGCTTCATCTATAAACACGTACGTGAAGTGGTTCTTGGGACAGTTTTTATTCACAAGCTTGACTGCGGTAATCAACGTGGTAATAACAATGCGGTACCGCACGATTTCGTCCATCACCGGATGATAAAAAGTACCACGTTGGAAGTTGCTATAACGTATTAATTCTTGAGGCATGTGGTCCGAAAAACTTATAGCTACGTATCTGAATAGATCACCAGCTGGTACTGTATCGGTCAAGCGTTTCGTCAACTCATTCGCGGCACTATTAGACGGGGTACACACCAGTACCTTTTCATTAGTTCGTTGATAAATTTGCTTAACCGACTCCACTAAGGTCATCGTTTTACCAGTACCCGGTGGCCCGAAAACCAAATATGGCGCCGGCATGGCCGACTTTTGTAAAATTGCACGAACCGCCTGCTGCTGCTCTGGGTTGTTCCCTACATCTTTATTAAACCAAGCTAACTCGATTCGTGGACAGACGGTGTTCGGGATCACCTTCGGGAAAAAAAAGTGGGCAATATTGTCAGAGTTTGTCAACTCGATGGCTTGATGCTGTGCCCGTAAACAAAATCGGTTGAAGGTGAACCCCACGTGGAATTTGATGTGAGGGGCGAAGACTCTATCCATGAACCTGGAAAAGCAAACTTGGTTTGACGAAGTGGTACCTTGGTACTTACTTTCGCGAGAATCGCAGCACCACGCTTGACTCCTTGACTTGTTGGATGACCCCGTTGTAGAGTACTTTGTTGTGGTTGGGGTCTTTCACGCGGACCACGTCGGAGACGAGGATGGACGGACGGCGCTCGGCTAAGTCGGGTACCTGTGACAACTAAAGCGGTACTGAGGCGACTACACTATCGTACTACCTCGAGCTCGACGAAGTGCCCGCGCTTTTTCAGGGTTTGCTCGTTCCGGTCGTACCCGCGCATGTCTTTGGACATTTGGTGCTCTTCCATGTGCAGTAGTACCTTCAAGAGTTTGGTGTAGTTTTTCTGGACTTGTAACGACGCTTGTTTGTTGTCATTGTCGATTAACCCCCTACGGACACACTAAAAACCCAATTGGTACTACAATTCCGGCTTACTTTATGTTTTCTAGTTCCGCTTGTTGTTTGGTCGACATCGCCTGATTAGTTGTAAAATTGGCGTTCAAAATCGCCGCCAAGTCCGACGGAATGTGGTACTGCTTCATCAAACTGGCTTTCGTCGGTGGCCACCTAGAAATACGCGTCAGTTCGACGGTAGTACCACAAGTACCAACTCACGGAGGAAATTCCCCATTTTCAACATTGTCAAGATCGTCGTCGATGAATTTCTCGAAGCGTTGGAAGGGCGCCACTGGGTGTAAATCGTCGAAGAATTCATCATGTGCGTGGAAAACCTAACGATTTGTATTGAGTGGAAGCAAAGATTGAAGGTCGATTTATAAACTTGCCGTTGACGTTGTCGTTGATATTGGGTTAATTAATTAAGTTTTCTTTGTATAATACGATTACTTAAGAACATATTTCACATGATTTCATAATTTCTCGTAGAAAAATAAGGATTTTATAATTAAGCTCCGCCCCTCGGGCGGGTGGGCGGGGCCTATATTTTGCCTTTTTTATTTTCTTAATATACATGGCCATCTTTTCACAACAAGAAACTTAAAACATAGTTAAAATGGTACATTTTTGCAAGGAAATATGGATTTTGCAATTCTGGGGCGGAGCCTAATTGCAAAATCGATATCTCCTAATACAAATTTTCCAGTTTAAACATGTTGTCAGTTACTTGTTGTCGAAATAAGTCTACACATATTAAGAAAAGCAAAGGAAAAATGTAGCCCCGCCCACCCGCCCTGTCTCAATTGTGATGATTTTTTTTATTCGCCGTAAACCAAAGGGGCGGAGCTTAACTGCAAAATACTTATTTCGTTACAATAAATTAAAAACATGTTTTTGAATATCGTGTTGATCAAAGAATACCAAGTATATTAAGAAAAAAAGGAAAATATAAACCCCGCCCACCCACCCCATCTCAATTGTGACGATTTTTTTATTCTTAGAAACTTAAAACACGTTTAAAACGGTAAATTTTTGTAACGAAATATGGATTTTGCACATAGGCTCCGCCCCTAGGTCTGCCAACGAATGAAAACTTCAAACAAGGCAGGTATGGGTGGGACTTAATCTTTGGCCTTAATTTTTTCTTAATATACAAAGTATTCCTTGAATAACACGAAACTCAAAAACATGGTTTCATTTTTGAGTCGAGAAATACGAATTTTGCAGTAAAGCTCCGCCTTCTTGGCTCACGATGAATAAAAAAAATCATCAGAATTGAGACAGGGTGGGTGGGCGGGGCTTATATTTTGCCTTGTTTTTCTTAACATATATGGCCATCTTTTCACAACAAGAAACTTAAAATATCTTTAAAATGGTAAATTTGTATAGGGAAATATAGATTGAGCAGTTACGCTCCGCCCCACGGTTTGACAACGAATGAAAAATTCACAATTGAGATTGAGACGGATGGGTGGGGCTTCTCTTTTTGTTTTTTTTTTTGTTAATACATAACACAGTTACATAAGAACATATTTCACATGGTTTCATCATTTGTCGTAGAAAAATAAGGATTTTAGAAATAAGCTCCGCCCCTCGGCTTACGATGAATAAAAAAAAAGATCAGAATCGAGAGAGGGTGGATGGGCGGGGCTTATATTTTGACTTTTTTATTTTCTTAATATACATAGCCATCTTTTCACAACAAGAAACTTAACATGTTTTAAGTTTCATGGTCTGAAAAGAAGTCTACACGTATTAAAACAAAAAGGCAAAATGTAAGCCCGCCCACCCGCCCTGTCTCAATTGTAATGATTTTTGCTATTCGCCGTGAACCAAGGAGCTTAACTGCAAAATACTTCAGTTTTAGATTTTTCAATTCTTTCATGTTTCGACTTTTCAATCTTTCGAATTTTTGGCTTCTCATTTTTAGATTTACGGGTTTTCAATTTTCCGATTTTTAGAATTTTTGACTTTTCGGATTTTCAACATTTCGATTTTTCGATTTCCCAATTTTTCAGTTTTTAGATTTTTCGTTTTTTCTTTGTTTTTAAATTTTAGATTTTCGCATTTTTATGTTTTGACATTTTGATATTTGGATTTCTCGATTTTTGAATTTTACGATGTTTAAAATTTAAATTTTTCGACCTTTCAGTTCTTTAGTTCTTCAATTTTTCGATTTTTTAGGTTTTTGATTTTTCAATTTTTGTACTTCGATTTCTCAATTTTTCAACTTTTCGATATTTTAACTTTTCAATTTTTAAAATGTTAGGTCTTTCGATTTCTTGAGTTTTCAGTTCTTCTATATTGCAATTTTGCAATTTTCGGAATTTATAAATTTTCGATTTTTCAATTTATTTTTTATTTTTTAATTTTTCGATTTTCCAATTTTTCAATGATTCATAATATAAAAAATAAAAAAAATTGATAAATCGAGAGGTTGAACAATCAAAACATCGAAACATCCGAATTTTGATAATTCGAGATGCCAAAAAACGGAAAAACCAAAAAATAAAAAATCGAAAAAGCAGAAGTCGAAAAATCGAGAAGTCGGAAAAACGCGATATTAAAAAATCCCAAAACTGAAAGAAATATCCAAAAATTGTGAAATTAAAAAAATTGGAAAATTGAGAAATCGAAAAACCAAAAAAGCAAACTAGATAATTCTAAAATCGAAGAACTGGAGAATGAAAAATCGAAGCTTTGATTTCTTTACAAGAAATTAAAACATGTTTTCGAGTATCGTGTTGTTCAAACAATATATGTTAAGAAAAAAAGCAAAATATAAACCCCGCCCACCCACCCCATCTCGATTGTGACGACTTTTTTATTCTTAGAACTTAAAACACGTTTAAACTGGTAAATTTTTGTAAAAACAACGGATTATGCAATTAGGCTCCGCCCCTAGGTCTGCCAACGAATGAAAACTTCAATCAAGGCAGGTATGGCTTAATCTTTGCCTTTAATTTTTTCTTAATATACAAAGTATTCCTTGAATAACACGATACTCAAAAACATGGTTTTAATTTTGAGTCGAGAAATACGGATTTTGCAGTAAAGCTCCGCCTTCTTGGCTCACGATGAATAAAAAAAATCATCAGAATTGAGACAGGGTGGGCGGGCGGGGCTTATATTTTGCCTTGTTTTTCTTAGCATATATGGCCATCTTTTCACAACAAGAAACTTAAAATATCTTTAAAATGGTAAATTTGTATAGGGAAATATAGATTGTGCAGTTAGGCTCCGCCCCACGGTCTGACAACGAATGAAAAATTCATCACGATTGAGATCGAGACGGATGGGCGGGGCTTCTCATTTAGTTTTCTTTTTTTATTAATAGATAACACAATTACTTAAGAACATATTTGACATGGTTTTATAATTTGTCGTAGAAAAAAAAAAAAAAAGATTCCGCCCCTCGGCTTACGACTAATAAAAAAAATCATCAGAATCGAAAGAGGGTGGGTGGGCGGGGCTTATATTTGACTTTTTTATTTTCTTAATATACATAGCCATCTTTTCACAACAAGAAACTTAAAACATGTTTTAGGTTTCATGTTGTGAAAAGAAATCTACACGTATTAAAACAAAAAGACAAAATGTAAGCCCGCCCACCCGCCCTGTCTCAATTGTAATGATTTTTTTATTCGCCGTGAACCAAGGGGGCGGAACTTAACTGCAAAATACTTAAGTTTTAGATTTTTCAATTCTTTGATGTTTCCACTTTTCAATCTTTGGATTTTTTGGCTTCTCATTTTTAGGTTTTACGGGTTTTCAATTTTCCGATTTTTAGAATTTTTGACTTTTCGGCTATTCAATTTTTCGATTTCCCAATTTTTCAGTTTTTAGATTTTTCGTTTTTTCTTTGTTTTTAAATTTTAGATTTTCGCATTTTTATGTTTTGCCATTTTGATGTTTGGATTTCTCGATTTTTGAATTTTACGATGTTTGAAATTTTAGATTTTTCGATCTTTCAGTTCTTTAGTTCTTCAATTTTTCGATCTTTTAGGTTTTTGATTTTTCAATTTTTCGACTGTTTTGTACTTCGATTTCTCAATGTTTCAACGTTTCGATATTTTAACTTTTCAATTTTTAAAATGTTAGGTGTTTCGATTTCTTCTATATTTCAATTTTCCGAATTTTTAAATTTTTGATTTTCCAATTTATTTTTTAATTTTTCGATTTTCCAATTTTTCAATGATTCGTAATATAAATAATAAAAAAAAACTGATAAATCGACAGGTGGAACAATCAAAACATCGAAACATCCGAATTTCGATAAATGGAGATGCCAAAAAACGGAAAAACCAAAAAATAAAAAATCGAAAAATGCAGAAGTCGAAAAATCGAGAAGTCGGAAAAACGAGATATTAAGAAATCCCAAAACTGAAAGAAATATCCAAAAATTGTGAAATTAAAAAATTGGAAAATTGAGAAATCGAAAAACCAAAAAAGCAAACTCGATAATTCGAAAATCGAAGAACTGAAGAACGAAAAATCGAAACTTTCATTTCTTTACAAGAAATTAAAACATGTTTTCGAGTATCATGTTGTTCAAACAATATATGTTAAGAAAAAAAGCAAAATATAAACCCCACCCGCCCACCCCATCTCAATCGTGACGACTTTTTTATTCTTAAATCTTAAAACACGTTTAAACTGGTAAATTTTTGTAAAAACAACGGATTATGCAATTAGGCTCCGCCCCTAGGTCTGCCAACGAATGAAAACTTCAATCAAGGCAGGTATGGGTGGGGCTTAATCTTCGGCTTTAATTTTTCTTAATATACATAGTATTCCTTGAATAACACGATACTCAAAAACATGTTTTTAATTTTGCGTCGAGAAATAAGGATTGTGCAGTTAAGCTCCGCCTTCTTGGCTCACGACGAATAAAAAAAAATCATCACAATTGAGACTGGGTGGGTGGGCGGGGCTCCATTTTGTTTTTTTTTTTCTTAATATACATAGCCATCTTTTCACAACAAGAAACTTAAAACATGTTTTAAGTGTCATGTTGTGAAAAGAAGTCTACACGTTTTAAAACAAAAATGCAAAATAAAAGCCCGCCCACCCGCCCTATCGAAATTGTAAGATTTTTTTTATTTGCCGTGAAGCAAAGGGGCGGAGCTTAACTGCAAAATACTTAAGTTTCAGATTTTTCAATTCTTTGATGTTTCGACTTTTCAATCTTTCGATTTTTAGAATTTTTGACTTTTCAGCTTTTCAATATTTCTATTTTTCGATTTCCCAATTTTTCAGTTTTTAGATTTTTCGTTTTTTCTTTGTTTTCAAATTTTAGATTTTTGCATTTTTATGTTTTGACATTTTGATGTTTGGATTTCTCGATTTTTGAATTTTACGATGTTTAAAATTTTTCAGTGTTTTAGTTCTTCAATTTTTCGACTTTTTAGGTTTTTCATTATTCAATTTGTGTACTTCGATTTCCCAATTTTTCAACTTTTCGATATTTTAACTTTTCAATTTTGAAAATGTTAGGCGTTTCGATTTCTTGAGTTTTCAGTTCTTCTATATTTCAATTTTTCAATTTTCGGATTTTTTAAATTTTCGATTTTCCAATTTATCAATGATTCGTAATATAAATAATAAAAAAAATTGATAAATCGAGAGGTTGAACAATCAAAACATCAAAACATCCGAATTTCGATAAATCGAGATGCCAAAAAAAGGAAAATCCAAAAAATAAAAAATCAAAAATTCAGAAGGCGAAAAATCGAGAAGTTGGAAAAACGAGATATTAAAAACTCCCAAAACTGAAAGAAATATCCAAAAATTGTGAAATTAAAAAATTGGAAAATTGAGAAATCGAAAAACCAAAAAAGCAAACTCGATAATTCGAAAATCGAAGAACTGAAGAACGAAAAATCGAAACTTTGATTTCTTTACAAGAAATTAAAACATGTTTTTGAGTATCGTGTTGTTAAGTTGTACGTTAAGAAAAAAAAGAAAAATATAAACCCCGCCCACCCACCCCATCTCCATTGTGACAATTTTTTTATTCTTAGAACTTAAAACACGTTTAAAATGGTAGATTTTTGTAAGGAAATATGGATTTTGCAGTTAGGCTCCGCCCCTAGGTCTGCCAACGAATGAAAACTTCAATCAAGGCAGGTATGGGTGGGGCTTAATCTTTGGCTTTAATTTTTTCTTAATATACAAAGTATTCCTTGAATAACACCACACTCGAAAACATGGTTTTAATTTTGCGTCGAGAAATAAGGATTTTGCAGTTAAGCTCCACCTTCTTGGCTCACGACGAATAAAAAAAATCATCACAATTGAGATTGGGTGGGTGGGCGGGGCTCCATTTTGTCTTTTTTTTCTTAATATACATAGCCAACTTTTCACAACAAGAAACTTAAAACATGTTTTAAGTGTCATGTTGTGAAAAGAAGTCTACACGTTTTAAAACAAAAATGCAAAATATAAGCCCGCCCACCAGCCCTATCGCAATTGTAAGATTTTTTTTATTCGCCGTGAAGCAAAGGGGCGGAGCTTAACTGCAAAATACTTAAGTTTCAGATTTTTCAATTCTTTGATGTTTCGACTTTTCAATCTTTCGATTTTTTGGCTTCTCATTTTTAAATTTTACGGGTTTTCAATTTTCCGATTTTCAGAATTTTTGACTTTTCGGCTTTTCAATATTTCCATTTTTCGATTTCCCAATTTTTCAGTTTTTAGATTTTTCGTTTTTTCTTTGTTTTTAAATTTTAGATTTTCGCATTTTTATGTTTTGACATTTTGATGTTTGGATTTCTCGATTTTTGAATTTTACGATGTTTAAAATTTTAGATTTTTCAATTTTTCAGTTCTTTAGTTCTTCAATTTTTCGATTTTTTAGGTTTTTGATTTTTCAATTTTTGTACTTCGATTTCTCAATTTTTCAACTTTTCGATATTTTAACTTTTCAATTTTTAAAATGTTAGGTGTTTCGATTTCTTGAGTTTTCAGTTCTTCTATATTGCAATTTTTCAATTTTCGGAATTTTAAAATTTTCGGAATTTTAAAATTTTCGATTTTCCAATTTATTTTTTAATTTTTCGATTTTCCAATTTTTCAATGATTCGTAATATAAATAATAAAAAAAATTGATAAATCGAGATGCCAAAAAACGGAAAATCCAAAAATAAAAAATCGAAAAATGCTGAAGTCGAAAAATCGAGAAGTCGGAAAAACGAGATATTAAAAAATCCCAAAACTGAAAGAAATATCCAAAAATTGTGAAATTAAAAAATTGGTAAATTGAGAAATCGAAAAACCAAAAAACAAAAAAGCAAACTCGATAATTCGAAAATCGAAGAACTGAAGAACGAAAAATCGAAACTTTGATTTCTTTACAAGAAATTAAAACATGTTTTTGAGTATCGTATTGTTCAAACAATGCATGTTAAGAAAAAAAAGCAAAATATAAACCCCGCCCACCCACCCCATCTCAATTGTGACTTTTTTATTCTTAGAACTTAAAACACATTTAAAATGGTAAATGTTTGTAAGGAAATATGGATTTTGCAATTAGGCTCCGCCCCTAGGTTTGCCAACGAATGAAAACTTCATTATTATTTAACTCAAGGCAGGCATGGGCGGGGCTTAATCTTTGGCTTTAATTTTTTCTTAATATACATCGGTATTCCTTGAATAACACAACACTCAAAAACGTCTCACATGGTAGTTTTTTGTAGAGAAATAATAAGGATTTTGCAATTAAATTCCGCTCCTTTGGTTCTCGACGATTAAAAAAATAATCACAATTGAGATAGGGCGGGTGGGCGGGGTTTATATATTTTGCCTTTTTTCTTAACATACGTAGTCGTCTTTTCAGAACAAGAAACTTAAAATATGTTTAAAATGGTAAATTTGTATAGGGAAACATAGATTTTGCAGTTAAGCTCCGCCTTCTTGGCTCACGACGAATAAAAAAATCATCACAATTGAGACCGGGTGGGTGGGCGGGGCTCCATTTTGCCTTTGTTTCTTAATATGTGTACTTATTTTGACAACAAGAAACTTAAAACATGTCTAAAATGGTAAATTTTTGTAGGAATCAACTTAAATCCGCCACTTTTCTTCTACAACCGCTATAAATACGGCAAAAGTTAAACATCAAACTTAATATTAACGGAGTTTTTAAATGACACTTTTTAGCTCTCAGAGCAGCGTTAGCGGGAACTTCAACGTCAACAGCAGGTTTATAAATCCCACTTGACACCTACCAGTTGGACGGCGACATTTAAAATTTCCTTGTTCTCGATTTTGACTAAAATTGGGTAAGAAAGTATCTCGTTTTGGACCAGGACTGTCAGTTCCCACGTGACCGTGCTCGACGGAAGAATCTTGCTCGGACAGACCGGTTTGAACCCGACTTCGGTTATTTTCGGGTGGGTTTGAATCGACAATATGGCGACAGTTTTGGGGGAGGAGTTCCTGACTCTTAGAAAAAAAGTTTTGGGGATGTTTTTGCGCATGATTATGCTTTTGAGGTCTGGGGAGCCGTTGATGGTGAATTCGAGAGGGGAAGGGATGATTCTGGCGATTTTGACTAAAACATATCAGTGGTGTTGATTAGAGCGCCATCTATCGCTCACGGAAGTAGTGTGACGTCGAAACGTCATTCACACGCTACCTACTTACAAGCTCTATCCAGATCACATAGAAAAACGTGCTCTTTCTCGCTTAAATGCGTCTCAAAGTCTTCTTGCTTCAAGAACTTGATTCCACAGAAGTTGCACACTTTTTCTGAAAACACGTCGTACTTTTCGGGACTAACGCTCGCGTAGCCGCTGGAATTATTCATTTGAGCGGAATCGCTGGTGTTGAAAGCCATATCTAGAATAAAATTGACACTAACATGTGTTTGAACAACCCACTGTCTGTACCAATGTTGGCTTCATTTTCTTTCAATCGAAGCAGCTTTCTTTCATTGTATACTAACACAGTGTCTCGTTCCACCCGCGTGAGGAACCCCTTACTGTAGTTCAACACCGTCCGGAACCCGACTTGCGTCCTGTGCTCCATTTTGAAGGCTTCATACAGCTTCTGTGCCTCCGTTTTCGTAATTACGAAACTCTCCCCCAAGTGGTTGTTTTTGTAAACATACAAAGCAAATTTTTGCGCACACGCTGCAAAATCCCGGTTTAGGACGTCCAAGGGGGCTGTAACGACCTACCTTGTGGGTGCTTCATGGTGAGAATAACGAGTTTTGGGCACTTCTCTGAATTTTGAACCGACCGGTCAACACGAGTTTTCCATATCAAGCGAAGATAAACAGAATTTGGAACACCACAACTTTACCAGTTTTCGCTTGTAATTTTTTTCGCAGAGTGGGGGCTCTTAGTGATTGAACATGGCGCCAACCTTACTTACAATTTCCTCCGATAGGTGATGCTTACATTTTTCGAAAATTCCCAAGCTGGAAAATTATTTGAAATTTCGGTTGATCTCGCGCGAAAAATTGACAGATAGTGGTGACATTTTTTAAATAAACAAAAAGCGGATCACGTGTCGGGCGAAAGTTGGAATTGTTTGGGCAGTGGCGTGGGTGAAGCTTGGAGTCAAGAGGGAAAACTTTGTCGACAAAAAGAAACTTCAGGAAATTCGATGTTATAAGCTATTCCTGTACACAAACCTGGGTTTCAATGAGGTGAAAAAGTGACCCCCTAGTGTCACTTATATGTTTCCATGTCAAGTGAAAGTTCAAATTATTTAGATTATATCTGTCACTTGTCATTCTGTTTTCACTGTGAAATGTATTAGCCAAAGCTTCAAAATTTTAACTGAAAATAAGCAGTTGGTTTATAAAAGTCGTTTATTGAATTTATTTATAAAAATTGTTAAAATAAATTCTTTAAAAAGTTGCGTCAATTTTATTAAACTTTATTTTTTATGGAACACTAAATAAATGATATTTATTAATGACAATCTAATAGCTTGAAAAATTGATACTCATGTCATTTATTCACATAAGTGATCTTTTGAAATGATAAATAATTTGCTCAAAGAATTATATGTTTATCTTTAAAATTAAAAAAAATTACATGAGTATCAAATAAAAGAAACATATGCTATACAGGATAAGCTACTAATGTTCCTCGATATCTCATTAATTATTATAAAAAGAAAAAAAATCAGAAGAGGCAAAAGTTGTACGGTTCTTTGGAGACTATTAATTGTTTAATGAAACACCCTGTATATCTGAAGATACAATAATAAAAACCAGGCTGTTCCATTTGAAAAAACTGTAATTTCGATATTTGAAAATTGTGGAGTTTTAACAATTTTATAAACACAGTGTATATTAAAATTTGATTTAGTTCCATTGCTAAAAATTTTTAACAAAATTGGAAGAAGGTGCCAAAAAATTTTAAGAAAATCATGACAACGTCGCATCGTAATTTCAAAAATAAACTGTGGTTGTAAAGCCTGAGAAGAAATTAATCAAAATAAGTAAAAAATATATGAGTTGCATAAAAAAAACACATTACATTTTGCACTTTTTTTTAATACGTGTAGTCTTCTTTTCACAACAATAAAGCTAAAACATGTTTAAAGGTATCGATTTTGGACTTAGGCTCCGCCTCTTGGTCTGACAACGAATGAAAAATTCATCACAATTGAGCTTGGGATGGATATGGGTGGGGCTTAATTTTTGGCTTGTTTTTTTCTTAATATACGTAGTATTCTTTGAACAACACGACACTAAAACACATGTCTTTAATTTCTCATAGAGAAATAAGGATTTCGCAATTAAGCTCCGCCCTCTTGGCTGACGATCAATAGAAAAATCATCACAATCGAGATAGGGCGGGTGGGCGGGGCTACATTTTGCCTTTTTTTTCTTAATATGTGTAGTCATCTTTCCACAACAAGCAACTTAAAACATGTTAATGCTAAATTTGTATAGGGAAATATCTCTTTTGAAATGACGCTCCGCCCCTCGGTCTGACAACGAATGAAAAATTCATTACGATCGAGATCGAGACGGATGGGTGGGGTTTTGGTCTCTTTTGGTTTTCTTTTTTAATTAATACATTTAGTTTTCTTTGTATAATTTGTCGTAGAAAAATAAGGATTTTATAATTAAGCCCCACCCCTCGATTTACGACAAATAAAAAAATTATCAGAATTGAGATAGGGTGTGTGGGCGGGGTTTATATTTTGCTTTTTTTTCTTAATATACGTGGCCATTTTTTCACAAGAAAAAACTTAAAACATGGTTAAAATGGTACATTTTTGCAAGAAAAAAATCGATGATTTTTTAATTATGGGGCGGATCCTAATTGTAAAATCGATATTTCCTTACACAAATTTTCCTTTTTTAATATGTGTTAAGTGTCATGTTATGAAAAGAAGTCTACACAACAAAAAGGCAAAATATAAACCCCACCCACCCGCCCTGTCTTAATTGTAATGATTTTTTTGATTCGCCGTGAACCAAGGGGGCGGAGCTTAACTGCAAAATACTTATTTCTTACATGAAATTAAAAAAATGTTTTTGAAAATCGTGTTGTTCAAATAATTCTATGGAAATACATAATATATTAAGAATCAAAGGCAAAATATAAAATGTTTTTATATTGTTATTTCTCGGAAAGAGATAAAGAATTTGCACTGAAACTCCGCCCCCTTGGCTCACGACTAATAAAAAAGATCACCAGAATTAAGACCGGGTGGGTGGGCGGGGCTACATTTTGCCTTTTATAAATGACAAGTCGGCACATATTAAAACAAAAAGGTAAAATTTAAGCCCGCCCACCCGCCCTATCTCTATTGTGATGATTTTTTTATCTTAAGAAACTTAAAACACATTTAAAATGGTATATTTTTATAAGGAAATAAGGAATTTGCAATTAGGCCCCGCCCCTCGGTCTGTCAACGAATGAAGACGAAAATTTTGGGTGGGCCATAATCTTTGGCTTTAATTTTTCCTTAATATACGTAGTATTCTTTGAACAACACGATACTGAAAAACGTGTTTTTAATCTCTGGTAAACAAATAAGGATTTTGCAGTTAAGCTCCGCCCTCTTGGCTCACGACGAATAAAAAATCATCACAATTGAGGTAGGGCGGGTGGGCGGGGCTACATTTTGCCTTTTATTCTTAATATGTATAGTCATCACAACAAGCAACTTAAAAGATGTTAATGGTAAATTTGTATAGAAAATTATTTATTTTGCAATTACGCTCCGCCCCTCGGTATTTCACATGGTAATTTCTCATAGAAAAATAGGAATTTAATAATTAATCTCCGCCCCTCGATTTACGACGATTAAAAAAATCACCAGAATTGAGATAGGGTGGGTGGGCGGGGCTTATATTTTGTTTATTTTTGTTTAATATACATGACCATCTTTCCACAACAAGAAACTTAAAACATGGTTAAAATGGGGCGGGGCCTCATTGCAAAACAGATATTTCCTTAAACAAACTTTCCATTTTAAACATGTTTTTAGTTTCATGTTGTGAAAAGAAGTCTACACATATTAAAACAAAATGACAAAATATAAGCCCCACCCACCCGCCCTGTCTTAATTGTAATGATTTTTTTTATTCGCCATGAACCAAGGGGGCGGAGCTTAACTGCAAAATACTGACTTTTTACAAGAAATTAAAAAAGTGTTTTTGAAAGTCGTGTTCAAAGAATTCAATGGAAATACATATATTAATAATATAAAAATGTTTTATATTTCTCGTAAAGAAATAAGGATTTTGCAGTGAAGCTCCGCCCCCTTGGCTTATGACAAATAAAAAAAATCATCAGAATTAAGACCGGGTGGGTGGGCGGGGCTACGTTTAGCCTTTTTTTCTTAATATGTATAATCATCTTTTCGCAATAAGAAACTTAAAACATGTTTAAAATGGTAAAATTGTATAGAGAAATATCTATTTTGAAATTCCGCTCCGCCCCTCGGTCTGACAACGAATGAAAAGTTCATTACGATTGAGATCGAGACGGATGGGTGGGGCTTCTCTTTTGGTTTTCTTTTTTAATTAATACATTTAGTTTTCTTTGTATAACACGATTATTTCGGAACATATTTCATATGGTAATTTCTCGTAGAAAAATAAGGATTTTATAATTAAGTTCCGCCCCTCGATTTACGACGAATAACAAAAATCATCAGAATTGAGACAGGGTGGGTGGGCGGGGCTTATATTTTGCTTTTTTTTCTTAACATACGTAGCTGTCTTTTCACAACAAGAAACGTAAAATATTTTGCAATGAAATATGGATGATTTTGCAATTATGGGACGGAGCCTAATTGTAAAATCGATATTTCCTTATACAAATTTTCCTTTTTCAACATGTGTTAAGTTTCATGTTCTGAAAAGAAGTCTACACATATTAAAACACAAAGACAAAATATAAGCCCCACCCACCCGCCCTGTCTTAATTGTAATGATTTTTTTATTCGCCATGAACCAAGGGGGCGGAGCTTAACTGCAAAATACTTATTTCTTACATGAAATAAAAAAATGTTTTTGAAAATCGTGTTGTTCAAATAATTCTATGGAAATACATATATTAAGAATCAAAGGCAAAATATAAAATGTTTTTATATTGTTAATTCTCGTAAAGAGATAAGGATTTTGCAGTGAAACTCCTCCCTCTTGGCTCACGACGAATAAAAAAGATCATCAGAATTAAGACCGGGTGGGTGGGCGGGGCTACATTTTGTCTTTTATAAATGACAAGTCTGCACATATTAAAACAAAAAGGCAAAATTTAAGCCCGCCCACCCGCCCTATCTCTATTGTGATGATTTTTTCATTCGCCGTGGTTCAAGGGGGCGAAGATCAACTGCAAAATACTTATATCTTTATAGGAAATTAAAAACATGTTTTGAAATATTGAGTTGTTCAAAGAATTCTATGTTTATTAAGACAAAAGGCAAGATATAGACCCCGCCCACCCGCCCCATCTCAATTGTGATGATTTTTTTATTTTAAGAAACTTAAAACACGTTTAAAATGGTAAATTTTTGTAAGGAAATAAGAAATTTACATTTAGGTCCCCGCCCCTCGGTCTGTCAACGAATGAAAACGAAAATTTTTGGTGGGGCTTAATCTTTGGCTTTAATTTTTTCCTCGATATACCTAGTATTCTTTGAATAACACGATACTGAAAAACATGTTTTTAATTTCTCGTAAACAAATAAGGATTTTGCAGTTTAGCTCCGCCCTCTTGGCTGACGATGAATAAAAAAATATATCACAATTGAGACAGGGCGGGTGGGCGGGGCTACATTTTTACTTTCTTTTCTTAATATGTGTAGACTTATTTCAACAACAAGAAACTTAAAACATGTCTAAAATTTTTGTAGTAATCGACATCAATTGGTCAAAGGTTATTTAGACAGAACTTCCTTCGTCTCTGGAAAAAGTCGCCAAAAAAAACGAAAAACAAGGTGACAAAATAAGATTTAAAGAAAAAGACACACTAAAGGCAAAAAAATATTAATTTTATTCGTCCACTTGTAGCTTTTATAATAGGTACGCCACTGCTCCCAAACGTCGCCGCAGGTTACTAGTTATCGACATTACAGATCCCTGTCGTCCATGTCCTAACCTCAAATCTTGTTTACATTATTACCCCCTAAATGGCTTCAAAACCCATGAACGACGTCGATCCCCTAAAAGACGAACGCAGCGGGAACCTCCGCGAGGTCGGCTCCCAGGCCATTTGGAGCCTCTCGTCGTGCAAACCCGGTAAGTGAGGTTATGTCCCGTCAACTCGTAACGCCCCAATTCCAGGTTTCGGGGTCGACCAGCTGCGGGACGACCGCGACGACACGTACTGGCAGTCCGACGGGCAGCTGCCCCACCTAGTCAACGTCCAATTCCAGCGAAAAACCACAGTCAGCGACATTTACATCTACACTGACTATAAGCTAGACGAGAGCTACACCCCCAGCCGCATTTCCATCAGAGTGGGAAGCCACTTCAACGACCTCCAGGAAATCGAAGTCGTCATGTTATCAGAGCCGTCGGGGTGGGTGCACATCCCCATTAAAGACATCAGGGATAAGCCAATAAGGGTTTTCATGATCCAGATAGCTGTGACTAGTAATCACCAAAATGGCAGGGACACGCACATGAGGCAGATTAAAATTTATAGCCCCATTGAGAGTCAAGGGTTGGCTATTGATAGTTTTATGAATTTTTCAACTGTGGAGTTTCAACAATATGCCACTATTAGGTAGAGTAAATAAAGTTTTTTTGAATATGAGAAATGAGGGGTTTTTTTACCTGTCCACAAAAAGTGACCTTGAGGAGGAGTTGGATTTGTGTTGTGTAGCGTAATGGATGTGGTTTTAAAGCTGGGGCTGCTGGTGGGTTATTTCGCCCAAGTGTGGTGCAACGATTTTTTAACAACCAATTTTTTTGAAAATTTACAAGGACACCCTTTAATAGGTATAACAACGCAGTTATAGTTCTAGATTAAATGATTATTTTTTAGCTGGGAAGGGTCTAGACGTTGGTTCTAAACACTTTATTGAAGCGCAAATCGCCAACTACGTTGACCTGGTGACAGGGGGAAAACCACCCTCCCTTAAGAAAAAACGCAGTTTATTGGATAAATTTACAAAAAGCGACAACGGTAAGGTTTAACATGACGAGTTTGACTTGGCCTCCACCCCAAAAATGTCCTTAAAAATATACCCACATTGATGGTCCTCTAAAAACTTAAACAACTCCCCCATATCCATATGATTACACTTAATATTATTATTATGGAACACCCTCTCTTCAAAAGTTCGAAATTTTAAAAAATCTTCACTTGACTCGCTACACTGCTCACTAATTTTACAAAAAATCCGTTTCCAATTCATGGCTTTAATCTCCTGCCACCACTCATTACAATCACTCGTCGTCCCCTCCACGCAGATAATTCCGGGCTTGCCCGGCATACAAAACCCCGTAATATTCAACTTGAGGGCTAAATCCAGAATCTCCTTTCTCTTACTTTTGCTATAAATATGGTGCGAATAAATCCAGTAGCGCACTAGAGTTTCGTTCTTCTCGATTGTTGGCTCCTCCACTTGCTCCAGAACCACGTAGTTTTCGGCATTGTCTTGTAGCCACGAAATCGCTGAAAAAATGCACTCTTCACCCCGGTTTAAACCACCAATAAACTCGGTTAAATCCTTATTTATAGCGGCGTGTTGTTGCTTGTTGAGTTTGTGGTTCCGGACGTAGAGGTCGGGCTCGGCGTCTGGGTACTCATGCGACAAGTTTATACAAAGTTCGAACTTCTGTTTATCGACGAGGAGGTTCACAGTGAGGTCCAAATAATTAGGGAGATCGGGGATTCGTCCCTCCACGAAAGCATTGACGTGGGCTAGGACATTCAGATCCTCGACCCGCAGCTCCTCACGGGTGTACATAGACTGGAGAGTCTCCAGCTCAGATAGTTGTACTTGGAGGTTCTGGGTGATTTTGGCCACTTCCGACGGGTTCATCTCTGAAACAAAACAATTCAATTCATATTTATTCCAGGAATTCATTTATTAAATGGGGTGAAACCAACAGCTACCATCCCCGTCCGGTTCCCCGAAGACATCCAACTATTCACCCAGAAGTCCCACAACTTCGCCGCCGCCTTAGAAAGCCCAAGTGTCAAACAAAGCGCCAATTATTTAGTGGTATTTACAAACAACAACAATACTTTCACCGAAAGCGCTAGGACTCGGGTGGTGAATGGTACCAAGCTTGCTGTTATCAACCTCGACAACTCGACTTTAATAGCGGTGGCGGAAAATGGTGCCCGGAAACATAATTTTCACGAGAAGTCGGGTATTTATCAGTTTAGTGGTGACGGACTTGTTAAAATCCAGTCACTTGATATGCATTACGCCCGCGATGTGCTTTTTTGGAAAGTGCACGACGAGATTTACCTGGGTGTAGCTCAGTTTACGTCGGATCGGAGTGGCCTTGAAGTCCCGATTTACAAGTGGTTGGGGAAACATTTCGATTTGGTGCAACGACTCGGGGCCACAGGGGCCCGAAAAATCACCCACTTTGTCATAGATGGTGCGAGTTTTCTAGCAGTGGCTAATTTTAAAAACATCGAAAACAAAACACGAATTTATTCCGACATATATAAATATGAATATCACGTGGAAAAGTATGAGTTGTACCAGAGAATTCTAACACAGGCTTGCAGCGATATTCAAGTTTTCTCTTTTCGTAGTGACAGGAAAAAAGACACGTTTTTGGTGGTTGCCAATTCTTATGATTTTGGTAAATAAGCACTTTTCGTTTTTTTTTTTTCAAAATTAATAATCGTTTTAGATTCGGATGGCGATATAAATTATGACACGGATTCGATAGTGTATAAATTCATCGATGGCTATTTTATCCCGTTTCAAAGTATCCGAGTGGCTGCAGTGCAACAGTGGATACCAGTCGAAGTAGAAAATGAATTTCGGGATTCACACGATTTCGTCCTTTTCGCGTCCTCGCGCTTCGAAGGACTCAAAGCTTACCAATATGATGGTTGGTCGTTCATGGAAGTTCCTCAAAAGTTGCCCGAGATTCTCACGAAAACGGGGATAAAGGCTGTCGTTTTTGGAAACAATTCAATCGGTAAGTACCCGCTTTTTATTTTTCGACGGTTTATGATCTCTAGAGTACGGAAAAAGTGGTCTCCCATTTCCGCCTGTCTGTCTGTCTGACTGTTTGTCGTCTGTGTCGATTTTTATTAGACATATAATCTCCTAACTCTAAGCTATTGGTCCGATTGAGTTTTCACCCTAGATATCCAAATTTTTGGGGAAAAAATCAAAATTGTACATATAATAGGTAATATTTAACAATTTAACTTTAAAAAATTGATGACGTCATCTCAAATTTTGCGTATAGCACGTTTATTTTAATTTTAACTTATAAAGGTTATCATAAAAAAAATAAATTCCCAAAATTAAATCTCATAATTTTTCTAAAAAACTGGACCAATTTTTTGACATCATAATTTTTTGGTTTTTCAACTTAAATTTTCTCGATTTTTCAATTTCTCGATTTCCAAATTTTAAAATTTTTCGTTTCTTCAATATTTCGATTTGCAATTTTTCGATTTTTTAGTTTTTCTATTTTTAATTTTTAATTTTTCAATTTTTCGACTTCCAAATTTTTCGATTTTTAATTTTCCAATTTTAGTCGGTACTTTCAATTTTTTCGATTTTTCGTTTTCCATTTTTTAGTTTCTCAATTTTTAATTTTTCGACTTTTCTATTTTTCGTTTCTTTTTTTAAGTTCTTGACTTTTATTTTTCGATTTTTCATTTTCTCGATTTTTAATTTGTCAATATTCCGAGTTCCAAATTTTTCGATTTTACGTTTCTTCAATGCTTCGATTTGCAATTTTTCCATTTTCATTTTTCGATTTTTTACTTTCTCAATTTTTAATTTTACGATTTTTCAATTTTTCGATCTTTCAATTTTTTTAAGTTCTTAATTTTTAGTTTCTTCAATTTTTCACTTTCTTATTTAATAATTTTTCAATTTTGCAATATTTTGATTTTTTAGTTTCTCAAATTTTCAATTTTCGTTTCTGCAGTTTTTAAGTTGATTTTTATTTTTCATTTTTTTCTTATTTTTTTTATTTTTCGTTTCTTCGGTTTTTTAAGTCGTTGATTTTTATTTTTCAATTCATTTTTTCAATTTTTAATTTTTCGTTTCTTCAAATTTTCAGGTTCTTATTTATCATAATTTTTCATTTTCTCGATTTTTAATTTTTCAATTTTTCGATTTTTCGTTTTTCAGTTTTTTTGCTTCCTCAATTTTTAATTTTTCGATTTTTCTATTTTTCGTTTCGTCAATTTTTTAAGTTCTTTACAATTTTTTGATTTTTTAACTTTTCGTTTTTTCGATTCTTCATCTTATTTCACATTTTCATTTTCTGGACTCTTAATTTTTCAGTTTATCAGTTTCCAAATTTTTCGATTTTTCGTTTTGTCAATTTTTTACTTTCTCAATTTTTAAATTTTTGGTTTCTTTAATTTTTTAAATTCTTGATTTTTATTTTTCAATTTTTCATTTTCTCGATTTTTAATTTTTCAATATTCCGACTAAACAATTTTTCGGTTTTACGTTTCTTCAATGCTTCGATTTGCAATTTTTAATTTTTCGATTTTTCAATTTTTCGTTTCTTCAATTTTTTAAGTTCTTGATTTTTAGTTTTTAATTTTTCAACTTTGCAATTTTTTTAGTTTTTGATTTTTTGTTTCTTCAATTTTTCACGTTCTTATTTCATAATTTTTCAATTTTGCAATTTTTCGATTTTTTAGTTTCTCAATTTTTTATTTTTCGTTTCTTCAGTTTTTTAAGTTGTTGATTTTTATTTTTCAATTTATTTTTTTTTATTTCTTTATTTTTCGTTTCTTCGATTTTTTAAGTTGTTGATTTTACTTTTTCAATTTATTTTTTGATTTTTTAATTTTTCGTTTCTTCAAATTTTCAAGTTCTTATCATAATTTTTCATTTCCTCGATTTGCTATTTTTTCATTTTTCATTTTTTCAATTTTTTGATTTTTTAATATTTCGTTTTTTCGATTTTTCACATTCTTATTTCATAATTTTTCATTTTCTGGACTTTTAAATTTTCAATTTATCAGTTTCCAAATTTTTCAATTTTTCGTTTCTTGAATGTTTCATGCTTTTTTCATTTTTTATTTTCTCGATTTTTAATTTTTCAATTTTTGGACTTCCAAATTTTTCGATTTATTGTTTCTTCAATTTTTTAAATTCTTGATTTTTATTTTTCGATTTCCAAATTTTTTGATTTTTCGTTCTTCAATGTTTCGATTTGCTATTTTTCCATTTTTCATTTTTCGATTGTTTAGTTTCTCAATTTTTGATTTTTCGTTTCTTTGATTTTTGAAATTTTTCATTTTCTCGATTTTTAATTTTTCAATTTTCGGACTTCCAAATTTTTCGATTTTTCGTTCTTCAATGTTTCGATTTGCGATTTTTCGATTTTTTAGTTTCTTAATTTTTAATTTTTCGATTTTTCAATTTTCGTTTCTTCAAATTTTCAAGTTCTTATTTATCATAATTTTTCATTTTCTCGATTTTAAATTGTTCAATTTTTCAACTTCCAAATTTTTCTATTTTTCATTTTTTCAATTTTTTAAGTTCTTGATTTTTATTTTTCAATTTTTTGATTTTTAAATATTTCGTTTTTTCGATTTTTCACATTCTTATTTCATAATTTTTCATTTTCTGGACTTTTCATTTTTCAATTTATCGTTTTTAAAATTTTTTGATTTTTCGTTTCTTCAATTTTTCACGTTCTTGTTTCATAATTTTTTATTTTCTCGATTTTTAATTTTTCAATTTTCCGACTTCCAAATTTTTCGATTTGCAATTTTTCCATATTTCATTTCTTCAATTTTTCAAGTTCTTGATTTTTATTTTTTGATTTTTTAATATTTCGTTTTTTCGATTTTTCACATTCTTATTTCATAATTTTTCATTTTCTGGACTTTAATTTTTCAATTTATCGTTTTTCAAATTTTTTGATTTTTCGTTTCTTCAATTTTTTAAATTCTTGATTTTTATTTTTCAATTTTTAGTTTTCTCTATTTTTATTTTTTCAATTTTCTGACTTCCAAATGTTTCGTTTGCAATTTTGCCATTTTTCATTTTTCGATTTTTCAGTTGCTCAATTTTTAATTTTTCGATTTTTTAAATCTCATTTTTTGATTTTTCGATTTTTCAATTTTTTAAATTTTTGATTTTTTTTCCAATTTTTCATTTTCTCGATTTTTAATTTTTCAATTTTCCGACTTCCAAATTTTTCGATTTGCAATTTTTCCATTTTTTTAGTCTCTCAACTTTTAATTTTTCGATTTTTCAATTGTTCATTTCTTCAATTTTTCAAGTTCTTGATTTTCAAACTTTTGGGTTTTTCGTTTCTTCAATGTTTCGATTTACAATTTTTCCATTTTTCGATTTTTCAAATTTTCATTTCTTCAATTTTACCATTTTTTGATTTTTTAATTCTTCGTTTTTTTGAACTTTCACGTTCCTATTTCATAATTTTTTATTTTCTGGGCTTAATTTTGCAATTTTTCGATTTTTCATACATATTTCGATTTTTTTAGTTTCTCAAATTTTAATTTTTCAATTTTACATTTTTTTGATATATCAATTTTTCGTTTCTTCGATTTTTCACGTCCTTATTTAATAATTTTTCATTTTCTCGATTTTAAATTGTTCAATTTTTCGGCTACGAAATTTTTCGATTTTTTAGTTTCCCAATTTTTAATTTTTATTTTTCAATTATTCAATTTTACAATTTTTTGATTTTTTAATTTTTCGTTTCTTCTCCACTCTAACTTTCATTTAAATAAATAAAAAAATCTTATTTAATTAAGTTCTTATTTCATGATTTTTCGAATTACAATTTTTTTATATTACAATTTTTGTTTTTTCTTCTTTGATTTTATAATTTTTAGATTTCACAATTTTTGAGTTTTTCGATTCTCCAATTTCAAGTTTTTTATTTTTCATTTTCTGGCGTTTTTAATTTTCATTTTCTCGGCTTTATATCACAATTTTTCGTTTTGTCATTTCCCTTATTTTTTCAATGTTTCTTTGGATTTTATAATTTTTCGTTTAATCAATTTTCCAAATTTTCAGTCTCTGATTTTTCAGTACTTCGATTTTCCAATTTTTAAATTTTTCAATTTTGCAATTTTTCCATTTTTTGATTCGGAAAGTTGAAAAATCGTAAAATTGGAAAGAAGAAAAAATACGAAACTGAAAAATTTCACCATGAAAAAATAAAGAAAATTAATAACAAACGAAAATTTGCAAAAATAAAGAAACTAAAAAAATCAAACAAAAAATTGCAAATCGAAAATTTAAAAAAATGAAAAACTGAAGTCAAAAAATTGAAAAATCAAAAAAATGAAAAATTACAAAACCTAAAATTTTTTCCTATTTAATTAAAACCCCCACGACCTTCCAGTGGTGGCCAACAAAAACAACCCCGGCAAAACCCCGAACGTCTTCAGCTTACAATTCAAGCACGAACAACGCGTCGACGCCATTTTCGCCGACATGACGCACTGGTGCGACCAACGCTTAAAAAAAGTCGAGGAACTAACCACCGACGAAATTTTCGACGCAGTGGTCGGCAAAACCGAGCGAGGCGACATCGAAGAAACCGAAGACAAAGAAATCCAGTCCAGAATCGACATCTTAACCCTCACCCTCGACGAATTAATCGCCAACGCTCAAAACCTCGCCGCAGACGAAATTATTTTCAACAACGCCACCTTCATCGACAATTTGAACACCACAACGATAAACAACTTCGACACAGAAAATTTACTAGAAAACGTGCTAGATACACAAGATGGGTTTGAAATAGAAGAAGCGACAATAGAGTCCATGGAGGTTGACAATTTGCGCACGCCGAAAAAGATCAACGGGCGCGATGTCAAAACGCTGCTGCGAGCGTCAGACGATTTGACGCTGGACTCGTTGACAGTCGGGGGCACTTTGACAATTCCGGAGGGTGTCAACGTCAATGGGACCGTCAACGGAGTGTCAATTACACCGCGAAAGCTTCTCCTACGACGGGGTGACCAGGAATTTTCGTATCCGCTGCGAATCGACGCAGCTAAAGTTGACAACTTAGCCACAAAATTATTAAACGGTGAAAACTTGACAAGACTCGAATTGTCAAACACCACACTTCAAATTGACTACGTTTCTAACTTAACAGTGGCTAATTTGTCCCTCGGTGGCTACGTTAACGACGTGCACACCCCCACTCTTCAAAAATACGCGTTGACGAAAACCGGAAACCAAGAGGTCAAATTTTTCGTCTTTGACACCCTCCATGGTGACAATCTCGACGTTGTTGGCTACATTTCGGGAAAAAAATTGTCAGATTTGATACCCACACACGGGGTCAACGTGTCCATCAACCAAGACCTCATTTTCAACCACCTCTTCATCAACGAGCTCGAAATTCGGGACTCGTTGAACGGAATATCAGTCAAAGACGGACGCTTGGACGTTCTGCTTAAAAACCACTCCCTCGAACAGGAAATCACCGGCGATAAAACGTTCGATGACGTTATCATCAACGAAGCGATTTGGCTCCAAGGACACATCAACAGCAAAAATTTGGAAAAAATGAACCCCGTGGTGGCTATCAACGACAACGTTTTTTTGGAAGGGGACAAAGTCGTGACCGGGTTGGTCGAAGTTGAGGGTGTGGTTCAAGTCAACGACGTATTGACAACTGATGGTACTTACTCGTTTACAAAAGTGGAATCTGAAGGTCTCCGATTGACAACGAAGGAAGTCAAGCCGCACTTGTACTTTCTGCAACAGTTGAGCGTTGATCAGGTTGTCGTTGACACGATCAACAACCACAGTCCGCGCGATTTCGTCGTTACGGGGACTGAAGAGCCACAAATAATCCACAGTGTCAAAGTTTTTTTGGGAGATTTGACAACAACGGGGGAGACGAACGCACTAAAGATCAACGATGTGGAAGTTGAAGAGTTGGAAAACGACGTTTTAAAAATGGGAGGAGATCAAGTAATCGTCGGTAAACACCATATCAGACACTTGGTAGCTGATAAGTACGACACAGATTAAGATTAAATCATCTCGGTTATCTTTTAATATTTTGTAGGGTTTTGAGCAACGTCACCACTTTTGATAAAAACTTAACAATCGAGGCGTCTGCAGACAATTTGACTATCAACGACAACTTTAAAGCGGGTGTTGTCAAAGCAAAAACACTATCAATCAAGGGGTTAGTCAACGACTTAGCGTTCAATCAAATCGTTGACGATACGGTAACTAAAGACACAAATCGTGTCATTGGTGGCCACAAGCACTTCAACAACCTCACCACTAACACCGTCACAGTCGAAAATCGCGTCTATATTGATCAAATCCCTGACAAAATAGACGAACTAAGATTAGACGGTCCACTAAACATTAAAAACATAAAAATCGACAATCTCTACTTTGACAAAAAATGCAACCAAGTCGATAAAGTCGACTTCGATGGGTTCGATGGTAGCACCAATGGTACCATAGTCACCCGTGACCAAAACCTCGACACTGTCACCATCTACGGCCACACTTTTATCAAATCTAATAAAATCGGTAACACCAGAATCGACGATTTGGTCGACAATAGTGTCAAACTAGACGAACCACACGAATTCAATTTCGCCAATTTCGGTAACTTTTAGTTTTTTTGTGGACCCGAATAACTGACAATTTCAGAGTCTGGTGTCATTTCCAAAAACTTTGTCAAGCTCGACGGCCACGTTGAAAATTTTGACTTCGACAACGTCATTTTTTCCGATCAACCAGATTCCGTAATTTTTGACGACAAAACCTTCGACAATTTGACGGTCAACGGAAATGTCAATTGTCAAGCGTCTGTCAACGGTGTCAATTTGACGCAGTTTTGTCTGTTCGCGATGGGTCAAACCGAAAACAAAAGTCTGGCGATTTTGGGTACAAAACTGAACTGTGTCTTTGATAATAATAATAATAATAACATAATTGTAGGTAACGCATTTTTTGCCAAAGGGCCTAAACTTGGTCACTTAAACGGCGCCGATGTCAAAACAATCAAACAGGAGGCGTGGTTTACCGATCAAGACACCACTTTGATTGGTTCGGTTGACTTTGACGACGTCATTTTCAAAAACGATATCAACGTTGACGTAAGTTAGTCACCTTTGTGATAATCGTTTGACCTTTTTTTTAGGGTTTCGTCGACAATATTAGTCTGAGTCTTCTCCACCAAAACTACTTGAGTAAAACCAAACCACAAAACATCACCGCGCTGTTCTCTTTCGAAAGCGAGCTCGTTTTTGAAAGTGACGTCACCGTTCCGAATATCACTATCACCAGTGGCGTGGTCAACGGGGTTAATTTGGACGAATTCGTCCGAACGGCGCTACTAGACGACAGCGACCAAGTTTTCGAAACTCCGGTGTTTTTCGAAAATTGCCTCGTCCTAAGTAACTTTGTCTAAAATCTAAACCCCAATAACTCGTTTCGGTTTAAGACTTGACTGGAGAGTTCACCGTCAACGGGTTACGACTAGATAAGGACGTTATGCTCTCGAACAAGGTCAATATGGTCACGGGGACTAAAATTTTCAAAAATTTGAACACGGATTCGTTGAAATTGGACCGAAATATTAAAATTCAGGGTGTCGATGTTCTGGATTGGTTCAAGAATTCGGTGCTTACGACGACGAGTTTCAACATTACCGGGTTCAAGAGTTTCAAGAATGCGGTTTTCCGGAATGGACTCCAGTAATGAGGTGCGTTAAAATTTTTGGTTTTTATTGGAAGCGAATTTTGTAGGGTTGGGGGCACGATGAACGGGCTAATTTTTGATGTAGACAATATTATGGTCAAAGATAGCCCTCAAGTAATCACGGGGCTCAAAAGTGTACGCGCCGACCCTGTACACCCAGTTGTTTTCAAAGGGATTAAACTTAAAGGCTCCCTGAACCAGGTCGACGTTAATGACTTAGTAAACAACCAGGTAAGACTTTTTTTAAATAAAATAATACAAAATTTTTGTTTTTGTGTTATTTTTTGTTAATTTTTATTTATTTAATTACCTTTTTTAAATGTGACTGAAACAAATTTTGAACTCTAGAACAGTGATGACCCCTAGAGTAAGAAAAAAATAGGTCTCCCGTTTTCGTCCGTCTGTCAGTCCATCTGTCTGTCTGTCTGTCTGAGTTTTTACTTGTGATTTATCATTGCGTTGATATTTTTTAGATTTACTTATACAGGTGGCTCAAAAAAATTAATTAATGTGTCAATTTATTTTATTTTTTTCAGTTTAAAATTTTTGAATTTTTGAATTTTTCAATCTTTCGATTTTTCAAAATTTTGGTTCGAATAAATTTGCTCTTTTAGTTAAAAATCGAAAAATGAGAAATCGAGAAAACGAACAGTTTTAAATTAATAATAAAAAAATTGCAGCTTTGTAACGTTAAAAATTGAAAAATCGAAAGATTGGAATTAAAAACTGCAAAATTGTAAAACAAATTATCAAACGATATATTCAAAAGTTGAAAAATCTAAAAATGAAAAAAAATTATATGAAAACTGAAATTTCGAATTCGGATTCCCAAGATTTCGTTTTCTCAATTTTTCCATATTTCAATTTTTCATTTTCCGATTATACAGTTTTACAATTTTCCGATTTCTCTTCTATCCGATTCTTCAATTTTTCGATTTTTGATATTCTAATTTTTTGATTTTTCAATTTTAAACTTTTCGGTTTTTCGATTTCAATTTTTCTTCCAACTTTCGAATTTTTCAATTTTTCAATTTTTGATTTTTCAGTTTCCCGAATTTCGATTTTTTAATTTTACAATTTTTCAAATTTCCGATTTTTCAGTTATTTAATTTTAAAAAATACCAAGAAAACGGACACTTATTTTTTTCAATTGATTGGTTTTTGATTTTTTGCCACCGAAATTTTGGAGAGAGATAAAAGGTAGATTTTGATCAGCGAGTTGCTATGTTTACCCTAACTTTAAAACATCCGAAAATTTTGTTTTTAATTTTCAATTTTTAACTGCATATTCAATTTTAAATTTTTGAATTTTTCGATTTTTCGTAATTTCAGTTCGAATAAATTTGTTCTTTTAGCTAAAAAATCGAAAAATGACAAATCGTGGAAAGGAAAAATTTTAACTTGAGAACTTGAACAATTAAAAATCAAAAAATTACAAAATCGTAAAACAAATTTTTCAAAAGTTGAAAATCTAAAAACTAAAAAAAAAAATTAAAACTGGAATTTTTTGAATTCGATTTTGTAAGATTTTTTTTAAATTTTTCGATATTTCAATTTTGGATTTTCCGATTATACAGTTGCACAATTTTCCGATTTCTCAGTTTGTCGATTTTTGATTTTTTAATTTCTTCGTTTTTCCCCCTTTTTTGTGTTCCTCTTTTTCTGTTTTTTTTCCTCCACTTTTTGTCATACTTTTTGCATTCCCCCTTTGGCGATATTTTTTGTAATTTTTTCAGGACTTTTTAAAAGCTTTTTTTGGAAATTTTTGTCGCTTTTTTGTTCCTTTTTTTGGCAATTTTTCCGTTTTTTGTCTCCTCTTTCAATAGATTTTTTTGTATTCTTTTTCTGCCTTTATTTTGTGCGTCTTAATTTTGCTTTTTTTCTCTATTTCTTTCTTCTTTTCTGAGTTTTTTCCTTGCCTTTTTTGTCATTTTTAAAAATATTTTGTGGATGTTTCTCGTTTTTTTGTGGTGTTTCTTCTTTCTCCGTTTTATTGACTTTTTAGTCTTCGTGTCCCACTTTTTTGTGCGCCTTTTTTTCGTCCACTTTTTTATCTTTCTTTTTTATTGATTTTATTGCCCTCTTCTTTCCGCCTTTTTTGTCCCCTTTTTTGTCGTTTTCTAAACATTCCTTGTGAATTTTTGTTCTTTTTTTGTCTTCTTTTTTCTACCTTTATTTTGTGCGCCTTTTTTTCTGAATTTTTCTCGACATTGTCATATTTTTTGTCTTCCGTTTATACTGAATTTGTTGTCTTCTTTTCTGGAATTTTTTGAATTCGATTTTACAAGATTTTTTTTCAATTTTTCGATATTTCAATTTTGGATTGTCCGATTATACAGTTGCACAATTTTCCGATTTCTCACTTATCCGATTTTTCAATTTCTCAATTTTTGATTTTTTTATTTTTAGCAAGTATTAGCCCCGCCCACCCGCCCCTTTAAATCTTTTTTTTTACGTTTTGTTGCTTTCTTGTTTCTTTTTTGGCATTTCTTCCCTTTTTTGTCAAGTTTTTTGGTTTCCCTTTGACATATTGTTGTCTTTTTGCCTGGCTTTTTTAGTCGCATTTGTTTTATTTTATTTATTTTATTTTTCACCCAAACGTATATTTTTGTGGACTTTTTTGTTCCTTCTTTTCTGGATCTTTTACTGGCCTTTTTGTCGTTTTTTAATAGTTCTTATGAATTTTTGTTGGTTTTTTTTCTTGACTGTCATATTTTTTGTCTTCCGTTTATACTGAATTTTTTGTCGTGTTCTTTCCTGCTTTTTTTGCGGACTTTTTTGTACCTTTTTTTAATGGATGTTTCCCGCGTCTTTTCTTCTCTTTTTTTTTAATCTTTTTTGTGGATTTTTGTTGCTTTTATTCCTTTTTTTTGTCGCGTTTCTTGTCTCCCCGTTTTATTGACTTTTTGTCTTCGGTTTTCCTCTTTTTTTTTGTGTTCCTCTTTTTCTGTTTTTTTCTCCACTTTTTGTCATACTTTGGCGATATTTTTTGTATTTTTTTGGTGCATTTTTTCTGGACTTTTTAACAGTTTTTTTTTTGGAAACTTTTGTCGCTTTTTTGTTTTTTTTATCAACTTTTTTCCCTTTTTTTGTCGTGTTTTTTTGTCTTTCCTTTGACATTGTTTTCGTCTTCGTCCTTTGGTCGCATTTGTTTTATTTTATATTAGATTAAATATAATTGGGCAATAAAGAAATTGTTATTATTATTATTATTAATTAATTTTTGTGGACTTTTTTGCTCCTTCTTTTCTGGATCTTTTTTCGCATTTTTGTCGCCTTTTTGTCGTTTTTTTTAAATATTTCTTGTAAATTTTTGTCGCCTTTTTTGTTCCTTTTTTTTGGCAATTTTTTCGTTTTTTGTCTCCCCTTTTAATAGATTTTTTTATATTCTTTTTTCTGCCTTTATTTTGTGCGTCTTAATTTTGCTTTTTTTCTCTACCTTGTCATATTTTTTGTCTTCCATTTATATTCAATTGATTGTCGTCTTCTTTCCTGTCTATTATTAGTTGCATTTACGTGGACTTTTTTCTTCTTTCTTTTCTGAGTTTTTTCCTTGCCTTTTTTTTCATTTTTAAAAATATTCGTGGATTTTTCTCGTTTTTTTTTTTGTTTTTTTGTGGTGTTTCTTCTCTCTCCGTTTTATTGACTTTTTGTCTTCTTTTCCCCCCTTTTTTGTGCGCCTTTTTTTCTGCTTTTTTCTTCCACTTTTTTATATTTTTTGTCTTTCATTTTTATTGATTTTATTGCCCTCTTTCCGCCTTTTTTTGTCCCCTTTTTTGTCGTTTTCTAAATATTCCTTGTGTCGTGTTTTTCCTCTTCTCGTTTTATTAACTTTTTTGTCTTCTTTTTTCTAACTTTATTTTGTGCGCCTTTTTTTCTGCATTTTTCTCGACTTTGTCATATTTTTTGTCTTCCGTTTATACTGAATTTGTTGTCGTCTTCTTTTTTGGAATTTTTTGAATTCGATTTTATAAGATTTTTTTTCAATTTTTCAATATTTCACTTTTGGATTTTCCGACCATATAGTTGCACAATTTTTCGATTTCTCACTTATCCGATTTTTGATTTTTTAATTTTTTATTTTTAGCAAGCACTAGCCCCGCCCACCCAACCTTTATTTTCTTAGAACAATAAGTCATCTGGCAAAATCGATTTTATCTAGCAAGTACTAGTTACGCCCACCCACCCTTATTTTCTTAGAGTATATGTCATTTGCCAAAATATGTCTCATCTTGACAAGTACTCGCCCCGCCCACCCACCCTTTATTTTCTTAGAAGAGCGGGTCATCTGCCAAAATCAGTCTCATCTTGACAAATACTAATCCCGCCCACCCACCCTTTATTTTCTTACAAGAGTGGGTCATCTGCCAAAATCAGTCTTATCTTGACAAGTACTAGCCCCGCCCACCCACCCTTTATTTTCTTAGAAGAGTGGGCCATCTGCCAAAATAAGTCTTATGTTGACATATACTAGCCCCGCCCACCCACCCTTAGAGGATGTCATTTGCAAAAACCAGAATCATAGTTGACAAGATAAGATTGATTTTGGCAGATGACTTATTCTAAGAAAATAAAGGGTGGGTGGGCGGGCGGGCGGTGCTAGTACCTTTTCTTAGAAGAGTAGGTCATTTGACAAAATGAGTATTATTTTGGCAAATACTAGCCCGCTCCACCCGCCTTTTATTTTCTTAGAGGGTAGGTTATTTGGCAAGTACTAGCCCCGCCTTTATTTTCTTAGAACAATAAGTCATCTGCCAAAATCAATCTTATCTAGCAAGTACTAACCCCGCCCACCCGCCCTGTGTTTTCTTAAAGGGGATATCATTTGCCAAAATCAGTCGTATTTTAAGAAATACTAGCTCCGCTCACCCGCCCTTTATTTTCTCAGAGGATATATTTGCTAAGATAAGTCTTATTTTGGCAAATGATATATCCCCTGAGAACATAGGGGCGGGTGGGCGGGGCTAGTACTTGCTCAGATAAAACTGACTTTGGCAAACGCCATACCCTCTGAGAAAATACAGGGCGGCTGGGCGGGGCTAGAACTTGCAAAGGTAAAACTTATTTTGGCAAATGATATAAACTCTGAAAAAATAGGTGGTGGGTGGGCGGGGCTAGCACTTGTTGACTCATTTTGCCTTATTCAACTTGTAAAAACTTGTTAAATTGAAAAAGTCTTAAATTGGAAATTTCCATAGTAACGAGTTAAATTCTTAAATCTGATTGGATATTTATTTTTTAACACTGAATTTTCTGAAACACCCTATATAAGCAAATTTAAAAAATATGAACGCAGGCAGACAGACTGACGGAAACGCAGACCTATTTCTTCGTACTCTACTGACGAATATTTCAGGCGTATAAAAACCAAGCCAACGTATTTAAAACAAGCATGAACCTGTATAACAACGTCACTACCAACAACCTGGTGATCAAAAAAACCTACCAAGGTGTGAACATGTCGGAATTAATCGCGAACGTCACGAATTTGGGTGTCCTAAACAACCTATTAAACGAGTATGAGAAGCTTCTGGATATATCGTACAAACTCAAGGAGTCCATAGAAGATCAGGCTTTTTTCCTCCACCAGTATAAAATCGTCCAAACTATGAAATCAGTGACCAATAGTCACAAAATCACGTGTCCAGATGGCGCCACTAGACTGGGGATTTTGGTGACCCACGACTCTGCCACCAAAATGGATTTGTACGAATGGCACGAAGAAGAGGAACAATTTTTGATAAATGGTAGTACGAAACGTTTTACAATTAAAACTAACCTATAATTTCAGCAACAATCCATTTCGGAAAACACCCAGACTACGTTGATCAAGTTTTACAAGGTCGCTATCTTTACACTGAAGAAAATGAAGGTGACTTAACCCTTCAATATTAACACAATTTTGATTATTTTTTTTTGAAGGCAAGGGCCACTTCACCCATATGTCAAACCCCTCCATACCCCCGCTCACCATTCATACCAACTTAACCACCCACACCACTTCGTTCACCCTTCCAACCGACGAACCCTGCACTTTATTTATATACATGAATAGCCCCCCTCGCATTTTCTGTGAAACGAAAAACCAAATCGAGTTGCGCCAGATCCTTCCGCTCGTCGCATACAAGGTAAGCCGACTTAAGTTAAGTCAAACCAGTGCACTCTTTCCACTCAGGCGACATCACTCACCATCCGTGGCGCCCTCTACCTAGTCATCATCACCCAGCCGGATACCGCCACCGAGGCACGCACCGACATCTGGCGCTTCCACAACTCGCACTTTTCCCTCCACCAATCCGTGTTCGAGGCGCACCCCCAGAGCGTCTCCGCCGTCACCCACCACGGGTTCCATTACCTCGCCGTCGCCTCGGGGCACGTCCCCAGCGCCATGTACTCCGGGCGAGTCGAAATTCTGCGCTTTAACGAAGACACGCTTCACTTCGCCCCGTGGCAGAGCCTCGAGCTCGACGCCCCCACGCAGGTGGAGTTTTCAGTGTTGCCAACGCAAGAGTTGGTGCTGTTCGTCGTGACCGATAGCCCCACCGAGCCGCTGCTGGTTTTTCGTTACGAGGGGGTTGCCGGGTTCCGGTTAAAGATTACAGGGTCGGCTCTGCCGCACGTGGCGTACGTGAACCAGTTTGTGGGCGAGGCTGGACATTTCCTTGCGGCGCAGGGTTATGATGAAATGAGTGTTATGAGAGCGATTTTTAAAGGTGATGAAATTCGAAAGGGGATTTAATAATGCGAGTCATTGTGTGTTTGTATTGTATTTGGAGTGATTGTTGTTATATTCAGAGATGGATTAAACTGGATTTTTCCGAGTTTGGTGGTCTCATTTAGATAACCTTAAAATGATAAGGGGTTATGTAACGAAAGTGCGTGTCATGATGATTAGGCGGGATTGGGATGGGGGTGTTTTTGTTAGTGGGGGCGGCGAAATACCTTTGGTTGCTGGTGGTTGAGTCTCTGCACGAACATGTGGGTTTGACGTTGACGTTGACACTTGACAACTGTTTTGTTTACTATTAAACCAGTGGATTTAGTAGTGGCTAGAGAAAGGTGGCCACTTTTGACGCACATGCGCAGATATTCTTGTTTGAAATGAAAAATTGGTGCTAAATTGCGAAAAAGTTGTTTAAAGTCGTTGTTAAATGGAGCCGAATTACAAATAATTTTATAGAGCAAGATCAGGTTAAACTCGTTTTCAATCGAATGTGACTGGTCAAGGTCACACGATTATAAAAATTTTGACTCTACCGCCTGGAATTTCGGCGGGCTGTACAGTAACCATGACTACGAAAAGAACCAATGAAAAGTGAATTTTCGGGCGGTAAATTTGAATTTGAAGAACTTGAATTTTGACGCAGCGGAAAAATAACTTTATATTATAAATAATTAACTGTAATCAAAGAGGCGTATGTGAAGGTCAAATGAAAATAAATAAGTCAACTTTTTTCACTTTTCAGACGTTTTTACGCCCTTTTTTGCGTTCGGTAATTCTTTGCGGTATTTTATTATAATAGATTTTTTTATCGGGGAAAGTGAGTAATATTGAAGGACTTCTTTGTCATTTTTTTTTTTAGTTTTTTTGTCGCCTTTTTTTATCGTTTATTTTTGATCCCTTCTTTAGTTTTTTTTGTGAACTTTTCTTTTTTATCGTTTTTTTTTACGTTTTTTTGGGTGCTTTTTTTCTGCTCCTTTTGATCGACTTTTTGTCATATTTTTTGCCTTCCCCTTTTGGCGACATTTTTGTTGTTTTTTTTTTGCATTTTTGTGGACTTCTTTAATCGCTTTTTTCATATTTTTGTCTTCCCTTTTTATAGACGTTGTTATTCTTGTCTTCTTTGCTGACTTTTTTGGTCGCTTTTTTATAGTTTTTTTTTTTGTAAAAATCTTTTTTGGTAATTTTTTGCAACTGTTTTCTTTTTTTGCCGCGTTTTTCTATTTTTCCTCCTTCTTATTGATATTGTGGTCTTCTTTCTTGTCTTTTTTTTGCATTTTTTGTGGCCTTTGTTATTAATTTTTTTAGGATCTTTCCTCGCCTTTTTTCTTCGAGTTTTTGTCGTTTTTCAAATTTTTTTTGGCATTTTTGTCGCTTTTTTGTTTCTTATTTGGCTTTTTTTCGTTTCTTGTCATGTTTTTTGTCTTTCCTTTGACATGTTGTCTTTTCTCCTTCCTTTTTGGGTCGCATTTGTTTTATTTTATTTATATTTATTTTTGACTTTTTTGTTCCTTCTCTTTGTTCCTCGCGTTTTTTAAAATAGTTCTTGAGTTTTTGTTCAATTTTTTGCTCGCATTTTTGTGGCTTTTTTGCTTTTTTTATCGTTTCTTTAGTTTTCTTTGTGTGGCTTTTTTTTGTATCTTTTATCGACTTTTTTGTCATATTTTTTGTCTTCCGTTTATACTGAATTTGTTGTCGTCGTCTTTCTTTTTCTTGCATTTTTTGCATTTTGGTGGACTTTTTTGTTCGTGCTTTTGTGGATGTTTTCCTCGTTTTTTTTTTAATCTTTTCTGTGGATTTTTGTCGTTTTTTCCCTTTTTTGTCGCGTTTCTTGTCTCTCCCCTTATTTTGTGTCCCTATTTTTCTGTTTTTTTTCCTCCACTTTTTTCATACTTTTTTTTGTATTTTTTTTCGTGCATTTTTTGTGAACTTTTTTTATCAGTTTTTTTTTGTCAAATTTTTTGTCTTCCCTTTTTTCGTTGACGTGGTTGTCGTCTTGATTGCCGACTTTTTTGTCGTATGTTTTCATTGCCTTTTTTGTCGCTTTTTTATCCTTTCTTGTCATTTTTTTGTAGATTTTTCCTTTTTTTTGGCAACTTTTCTAATACTTTTGTCGTGTTTTTCTGTTCTTTTTATTGGCATTGTTGTCTTCTTTTTTGCCCTTTTTTTGTCGCATTTTTTGTAGCCTAAAAAAAAACATAATAGTCATGCAGTCGTCACGTTTCCGACAGCGAGGGAAGTACTGTCTAAACTCTTTAGACCAATTTTTTGTCTTTCTTTTGAGATTGTTGTCGTCTTCTTTGTATTTTTTTTTTTGGTCGCATTAATTTTATTTATATGAATTTATGTTTTTGGACTTTTTTGTATTCTTTTTTTCGCCTTTATTTTGTGCACCTTTTTTCTGCCGTTTTTCTCGATCTTGTCATACCTTTTGTCTTCTGTTTATATTGAATTTGTTGTCGTCTTCTTTCCTGTATTTTTTTTAATTGCATTTTTGTGAACTTTTTTGTTTCTTCTTTTCTGAGTTTTTTCCTTACCTTATTTTTGTCATTTTATAAAATCTTTTGTGGCTTTTTTTGTCGTTTTTTTGCTGCTTTGATTTGTGAGTGACTTCTTTATAGCTTTTTTGTTGTCTTCGTTATCAACTTTTTGTCTAATTTTTTGTCTTCCTTCTTTTTGTGTATTTTTTGTGGATTTTTTTAATCAGTTGTTTTGTCAAATTTTTGGTCTTTCCTTTTTATTGACGCGGTTGTAGTCCTGATTGCTCATTTTTTTGTTGCTTTTTTACCTTTTTTTCTGATTTTTTGTCGACCTTTTGTTTTTTTTGTGGCAACTTTTTCTCCTTCTTTTGTCGTGTTCTTCTGTCTGTCCACTTTTTTATTGGCATTGTTGTCTTCTTTCTTGCATTTTTTTGTCGCATTTTTTGTGGCCTTTGTTATCAATTTTTTTCAAGATCTTTCCTTGCCCATTTTTCGTCGACTTTTTGTAGTTTTTGAAATCTTTTTTTGGAAATTTGTATGGCTTTTTTGTTTCTTTTTTGGCAAATTTTTTCCGTTTTTTGTCGTGTTTTTTGTCTTTCCTTTGACATTGTTGTCGTATTTTTCCTTACTTTTTTGGTAGCATTTATTTTATTTTAGATTAATTCATTTTTGTTTACTTTTTTGTTTCTTCTTTTCTGGATCTTTGTCTCGCCTTTTTGTCGACTTTTTGTCGTTTTTTAAAAATAGTTCTTGTGAATATTTGTCGCTTTTTTGTTCCATTTTTTTCGTCAGCTTTTTCCTTTTTTTTGTCGTGTTTTTTGTTTCCCCGTTTGATTGACTTTTTTGTATTCTTTTCTCCGCCTTTATTTTGCATTTTTTATGGACTTTTTGTTCCTTTTTTTTGGATGTTTTCTACGTGTTTTTTTCTCAATTTTTTATTTTTTTTGTGGTTTTATGTCGCTTTTTTTCTTTTTTTGTAACATTTCTTGTCTTTCCGTTTTATTGACTTTTTTGTCTTCGTTTTTCTCCCTTTTTTTGTGTCCCTCTTTTTCTGTTTTTGTCGACTTGCTTTATATTTTTTGCCTTCCCCTTTGATAATAATTTTGTAATTTTTTTACATTTTTTTGTGGACTTTTTTATGTTTTTTTTGTCAATATTTTTGTCTTCCCTTTTTATTGACGTGGTTGTTGATTGATGACTTTTTTGTCGCATGTTTGTGATTTTTTGTTTTTTTTTTTTCGCAACTTTTTCTCACTCTTTTGTCGTGTTTTTCTGTATTTTCTCCTTTTTATTGCCATTGTTGTTTTCTTCTTCCTTTTTTTTTTTTATTTTTTTGTAGTTTTTTAAGTCTTTTTTGTAAATTTTTGTCGATTTTTTGTTTCTTTTTAGGCAACTTTTTTCCCTTTTTGGTCACGTTTTTATGTTTTTCCTTTGACGTTGTTGTCTTCTTTTTTACTTGTATTTCCTTGCCTTCCTTTGCCATTTCTTTAAATCTTTTGTACACTTTTGTCGCCTTTTTTGCTTTTTTTATTGCGTTTCTTTCTTTTTTGTCATATTTTTTTCATCTTTTTTTGCGGCTTTTTTCCCTCCTTTTTTTGTCATATTTTTGCCATGCCTTTTATGCTGGCTTTTGTGTCGTTTTTTTCTTCTTTTATTTGTGGACTTTTTTATCGCTTTTTAGTAGTTTTCCTTATCAACTTTTTGTCATATTTTTTGGGTTCCCCTTTTATTGAGTTTATTGTCCTCTTCTTTCCTGCCTTTTTTTAACTGCATTTTTGTGGACTTTTTTGTTTCTTCTTTTCTTCGTCTCTTTTATCTCATTTCTTTCAATCTCTTTTGTGGTTTTTTGTCGCTTTTTTGACGCGTTTCTTTTCTTTCTGTTTTATTGATTTTTTGTCTTCGTTTTCCTCCTTTTTTTTTGTGTGCCTGTTTTTCTGTTTTTTCTCGACTTTTGTGTGCATTTTTTGTGGATTTTTTTAATCAGTTTTTTTGTCAAATTTTTTGTCTTCCCTTTTTATTGACATGATTGTAATCTTGATTCCTGACTTTTTTGTCGCTTTTTTATATTTCTTTTAAATCTTTTTTTTTGTGATTTTTTGTCGATTTTTTGTTTCTTTTTTTGGCAATTTTTCTCCTTCTTTTGTTGTGTTTTTCTGTCCTTCCTCCTTTTAATTGGCATTGTGATCTTTGTGATCAATTTTTTTCGTCGATTTTTTTGTAGTTTTTGAAATCTTTTAGGAAATTTCTGTCGCTTTTTTGGTTCTTTTTTGGCAACTTTTTTCCCTTTTTTGTCGTGTTTTTTGTCTTTCCTTTGACATTATTGTCGACTTCTTTCCTGTCTTTCTTTTGCAGTTTTTGTGGCCTTTTTTGTTTCTTTTTTTTTGAATTTTTTCCCTTTTTTGTCGTGTTTTTTGTCTTTCCTGTCTTTCTTTTGCAGTTTTTGTGTCCTTTTTTGTTCCTTCTTTTTTGAATTTTTTCTTTGCCTTTCTTTGTCATTTTTTAAATCTTTTGTGGATTTTTGTCGCGTTCCTTGTTTCTCTGTTTAATTGATTTTTTGTCATCTTTTTCCCCCTTTATTTATGTGTGCTTTTTTTTCTGCTTTTTTTCCTCTGTTTTTTCTTTGTCATTTTTTTTGCCAACCTTTTTTCGGCGACTTTTTTGTCGTTTTTCTGCTTTTATCTGTGGATTTTTTATCGCGTTTTAGTCGTCTTCGTTACCAGTTTATTACCATACTTTTTGCCTTCCCGTTTTATTGTTTTTATTGTCCTCTTCTGTTCTGCTTGTTTGCTCGAATTTTTTGTGAACTTTTTTTTCTTTCTTTTTCTGGTTTTTTTCCTCGCCATTTTTGT